ATCATCATCATCATCATCATCATCATCATCATCATCATCATCATCATCATCATCATCATCATCATCATCATCATCATCATCATCATCATCATCATTCAAATCATATCCAAAAAGAAAACCGAGGAAAACCAAACCGTTTCCCTCGGAAAAACATACCAAATCCGCCATCTGCCCATATCCCAGCCAGATCCACCGGATGATCGACCTTGGCTCGTTCTTGGCCCAAACAGGGTCTTCATGGTATGTAACCAAGTAGGAATTTCTCATTCCTCATACATCTCTCGTTTTGAATCATCGTATGGGGTAAGTTTACCCCTCTTTTGAATGATTCGGTGAAGGATTAGTTGATTACGTGGGTAGAATGTGGGAAGTGTAGATCATGGTGTCATTTTGGTGATCTGTTTACTCATCCTATTATCTATGGCATTATGTACGCGCTACTCGGTTACGGAAGTACAGGCGTACATAATAACGTATATAATATTGTGGAGGTTGGTGGTGTTGCGGTTATCTTCGGGGTTTATTCGGTGTGTATAACTCCGGAGTACGGAGTGTAGTTATACACAGTTGTGTAGGATATTTATTTGTGGAGTCTTGGAATCTTGGTATTTAACTATTTACTACCCCAGATATTCGGAATATATCCAACAGAGATAAACGGAGTATACTCCGTTATATTCTAGTAACTTCCATGCATACCAAGAATGTCGAATCTAAATATTAACCGACTGACTGACACATACCAGATCATAGATATACTTTCTGTACATTCCGATCATGTTTTGACTTTGACTTTATATACTCGACATTTTACTCAAGGCATAATGTAAGGTATTATGTATGATGATGAGTGTGTTGTTCATGTGACTACAGACTACTTGTACAAAGTACGGAATATATTCGTAGATTAAAATGCAACTAAACTAGTTTGGTTGGATTGGAAATACTACTATCTGTTATATAATAAACTGACTTCTTGGATAAGTGGGATGTCTTGTCATGCATGGCTTAGCCTCTTAGGTCGTATTCGAGTTGGACTGAATATTTTACTACATCCAGTATCTAGATGCATTCTACATATTCTGCCTACGCATACATGACATGTGCTTGCCCAGACTGTACGTAATCACTTCATTCCGAAAATCCGCTGCAATTATATATGCAAGAGAATCAAGTAATATAAAGTATATAGACAAAGTCCAACAATAATTAAATTAAAGGCTTCGGTGAAACCGATCAAGAAGAAATAAACCACCTCACATATAATGGGCCTCGAAAGGTAAGAGAAGAGAAATTATGCCACAATCAAGTAAAGAAAAAAATGTAACCACTTTACAGCCAGGGTTATAATAACAGGAGAAGGAAAACCAAATTTGAACAGAGGAACTAAGAAATTTATTCTGACAAAGGAAAAGGTAAAATGCTAGATAATGAAAAAAAAAAAAAAAAAAAAAAGCGGGAACAGAAAAGGTCGCTGGTGCAAGAAGAGGACAAACCGATAGCTGCAAGCAACAGAAGGGGACGAAAGCTGTGTGGGTATCACGGGGTATCCAAATAACCTCTCTGCTCGTTCAGTGTTGGGAAACTCGGAGCCATGCCGACTCATATCCTCCTTCCAAGGTCAAAGCTTCATCGAAAACATTGCTCGATTCGTCCGGTCTCGAGGAAATCCCGGGGTGGCATGCACGCACATGCATGGCGATGGAGATTGTCTTTCTCCAAAAGCCGCCCCTTGGGACTTGCTGGCAAAGTCTCAACATTTCCATGTTTTCAATTCCCGAAGAAGTAAAAAGGTGATGCTGAAAAGGATCAAACCAGAATCATCCGACTCTGGCTCCCTTTCGTTGGTACAAACTACCAAGATGAAATAAAATAATTAATCCGACCGGGATTCGGTCTGGATCTACCGCTCATCACCGGCCCTGGACTTGGCCCGGCGGCGGAAGAAGTCCATGACTTTTCTTGCCGCCCCAGAGCTGCCAGGGTGATGTGCCAAATCCCGCTCATACTCGTATGCGTCGGCGAATTTGCGGTTGTTTTTCTGTAGCACTCCAGGTCCTCTCCTGGATCGACCGGCTTGCATCGACTGCCGAGGCACATTGTCGTAGCCACCGTCGTTTTCGTCGTAGTAATTGGGCGCCGAGTGATTTTGGTAATGAGGACGGGTGTAGTGATCTTGGTCACTTTGATACACCTGCTCGGCCGAAGCGCTGCTGTATGTCGTATTCTGGGGATAATTGCTCGATTGAGTTCCGTGCAAGGCCTCAAACTGCTGGTCGATACGAGCCTGGTAGTTGACAGGCTCATCTTGCACTATCACCTCATCTGCCGGACCCTCTGACACCATTCCCATCGCTTCTTGTGTCGAGTAGCTCGTGGCGCGGGCACGAGGCCGGATGGCTCCCGTCGATGGGCGGTTCTGGACACGGTTGTCTGTGGAGCGACTTGCTTGCGAATCCTCATCCGGAGTTTGCGACCTGCTGGTCGAAAAGCCCTTCAACGAGAACGATGCCGGTAGAAGTGAGAATCGACGGGACCTGCCCTCTCCAGCCTCGCTGTTTTTGCGGTTGCCATATTGGATTGACCGCCGCGAGTCCATAGAAGCTCTCGTTTCTTCTCCTGTGAATGGATCTCTCATGCTAGTAGGAGGATAGCGCTTGCCCGACTTTTGGCGAGGAGCACTTTGCGAACCGCGACCGCCAAAGATCGAACCAGATCGCCCAAACAACTTTTCGCTGATGCCAGAGACGGTATTGGATCTCTTGTGGCCTTTGGGAGGTTCCTGGTGGGGAGTCGGATGGAACTTGGACGGAAGCTGCTGTGCACTCGGGCGGCCAATGCTCGTAGGTGATTGTTCTGCAGGGTCTTGAGGAATCGGTGCAGATATGACGTATGGTTTGCTCTTTGGCTGCGCAAGCCGGCCCTGGGCATTGGTGGCTGCAACTGTAGGTGCCACGGGCTGTCCATAGGAACCTCTCGACGGCAGACGACCAGCATTGAACGAAGCCATGGACCCACCAGTGGCCGGCCGCGTACTTTGAGGCAATGAGGTCCCTGCGAGGGAGTCGGATGTTGAGCGAGGCAAGTGCCCTGTTGAAGGTGCCGGTGCCGGGCCGCTAGAAACAGGTGCTTTGGAGTTGAGATCACCGGCGTATGAGCTGAGACCCACGGACATCTCTTGTGGCAAGAAGCCTGCTTGCGGGTTGGCAGCCTGACTGTTGGAGCGTGTTCGGGTGTGCACAGCTCCAGTTGCGGATGGGTCCGAGGGAGTAGAGTCCACACCACTCGGTGTTTCCCCTCGGGTGGTCTGAGACTGAGGAGCAACATACTCGACCTGAACTGTTCTCCGTTTGGTATCTCGGGGAGTCTTGGATCGATCGCTCGGTTGGTCTTGAGAAATATCGCCAGATTGGTGGCTTAGTCCTCCAACCGAAGGAACCGAATTTTGGTAAGGCTTAGGAGGCTCCCTGACAGAGGCACTACGCGCGAGGGCTGGGGCTTCTTTGACAGTTTCGGGTGGTACCGTGGAATTGGAAATCTCCGAAATCTTGGTCGTGCTGCTTGTAATGTGAGACACAACGTGTGAGAACTCACTGAGCCAGCTGTGACGGGCGACCTCGAAAAGGTCCGCACGTTTTCGCGGGTCTGGTACCAATATCCTCCTTAAAAGATCGCGCGCATGGGGAGTGACGTATTCAGGGAAGGTCAGAGGCGTTGTGACAATGTACTTATAGAGCAGGTTGATGTTATCACCGTCGGGGTTTGCTGGGTCATCGTCGAATGGTAGATAGCCAGCCAGCATCGCATACAGAATAACACCGCAACTCCAAACATCGACCTTGCGTCCTGTATACAACGAGTCGCTCACAACGAGTTCTGGTGCTGCGTAACAGGGACTTCCGCAGCTGGTCTGCATCAAATCGCCCCGCCTCAATCCCTTGGCATTGGGCTTGTCCAATCGCATCCTCCTCACATAGTCCTTATTGGTCAGGTTATACTCAATCTCTTCCTCAAGTTTATCAACCGGGTCGAAAGTGTTGGCAAAGCCGAAATCGGTGATAATGATGTTGCGATTCCGATCCAGTAAAAGGTTCTCAAGCTTCAAATCACGGTGAACAATACCTTTCTTGTGCAGATAACCGACACCGGACACCAATTGAGCGAATAACCGTCGAGCAGAGTTGTCCTTCAGGTAGCGGTTGTTCAAAATGTGGTCGAAAAGTTCACCTCCGGAAGCGTATTCCATGATAATTCCGATGTGACGATCAGTCTCGACCATTTCATGCAGGCGAACAATGTTGGGGTGGGATAGGTCGCGCAGAATCGAGATTTCACGGTAGATCTTGGGCAGCCGGCTGGGATTCGATCCCAGTGACTCTCTTCGAATGAGCTTGATAGCAACTTGGATGGTACCATCTCTCTTCCAGCCCAATTTGACCTTTCCGAATTCACCTTCTCCCAGCGTTTGTCCCAGGATATATTGGCCAAACGTTGTTTCCTTGCGCTTCACGGAGTTTCCGTTGTAATCGTGTCGACTGCGCAGCCCGCCGCGACCTCCGTCGTCCACGCCATCGCTCCCCACCAATGTCAACCCGGGTGCCGGAGCATCCTCAACAGGAGCAGGGGTTGGTTCAGAAACCGGTGTTCCTGTTTGGCGCACTTGCTCGCGCTCAATGTCCACCGCAGGATCGCTCACCAAGACCTGGTTTATCACGGTGCTCGATTCTTTCACCAATGTCCCTTGGCCAGGAATGGTCTCCATGTTGGCGGCAGACGATGACGCCGCTTGTCCCGATCCACCTGCACCCCGTGACGATTCCTTCCTTTCACGACTACTCGCGTTTCGGTCGGCTCCGCCGTGATTTCGATCGTCCTTTTTCTTCGAGTGTCGCGACCCAGATCCTCTCTCCCCAGAACCATGGTGACTCCGGTTGCTGGAAGACGTCCTTGGGGGTATCGATGGCGCACCTAATAAATCGGGGTGGACAGGGCGACTATTGCTCTGGGACGGCGCAGGCCCTGCGGTCGAGACTAGGGATGCATGTGTGGCTAGTGGCAGCGACTGCTGACCGGTGTTGCTCATAGCCGAAGAAGCTGCTGGGACCGGGTATGAGGAGGGCTGCTAGAAATTAGCGCTGTGCTCAAGCAGTTGCTGGGTGAATTAACTGGCAACTCCGAGCGCTGCGATGAGCCGGGGATAACACCAAAGGGTTGCGGCGCATAGCTGAAATGTGAATGGGAAAATGGTGCACGACGGGTGTACACCGAGGGGCCGTTTGCATAGCAGCAGGCGACGTACCTTCGTTTACTGAAGGCGCAGCAAAAAACAATTGCTGCGTAGTGGTCCGAGACAGCCTCTCCAGGCAACGCGTAGACAAGTGACCACTTCGTTTGACCAATTGCGCCCTCCAGAGGGTGTTTGGTCAACTGTCTTTTTTTTATGATTTTATTGTTGAATAGAGTCGATGATTGCGATCGTTCTCGCTTGCCAGTCTATCCGGCCAGGCAGCTGAGCTGGGATGGAGTTAGTTTGAATGGATGCCGGGAGCCATTTCCACGAGAGGATTGTATTGTAATCCGGGGAAAGCTATCATGGGAGGGAAAGAGAAGGGGTGGACACTGACAACAGAAAGCGAAGAAATAAAGGAAACACAGAAGACAGTAAGAAAGGGGGAAAAAAGCCAGCGTGGACAGCTTATGATACAGCAAGTACGACACGGAAGACACCAGGTCAAACCAGATCGAAACCGGACGCGTCGTAAAGCCCACGGACAGCTTAATTTCGTTGTTTTCCCTGAGGATTTTTTTTGTTCTTTTTATTGTTCCCTTTTTATTGCTAGGGAATTCTTTCTCTTTTTTTCAATTTGTGTAATTTTTTCAATCGAATAGAAAGATGAGCGGTAGAGACCTGCACTGCAGAACTGCCTCTTGTAATAACCTCACTTCCACCGAATAGATAGATATCTCCACTATCTAATTCGGAAACACGTCGGCGATGCGGCTCGAAAAAAAAAAAAAAAAGTTGAGGGCGACAAACGCGAGAAGGGGAGTTGATTGCTCTGGACGCGACTCTCGATGATCCCGATGATCCACTCCCAAAGATCGATAATGAATTGAATTCAAAAAATTTTTTGGGGGTCGGAAATTGTAAGTTTCTATTTTTGCGATTAAAGAAAAATTATAATTTTCTTTATTATAATTTCACTTTTTCTCCCAAGCGAAGCACGGACTCAACACTGCTGAAGGAATTGACAAGGCAGAGTGTACGCCGCGGCGAGGATCATGATCGACGGAGGGAGAATTGAGAGTTGGAGGGGATTCGAAGCCTAAGCTGGGAGGGAGAAAGCAGCAGACGATCGAGAGAAGTCGACGAGAGCGAGGCGGACAGGGGGGCGCGAGGGGAGAAAACGCAAGAAAAACCCGCGGGAACACCTGGACCGGTCGGGGACCCGATATCTGTCGTCGCAAACGCGTGGAATAATAAGGAGATCCGAAGAGGTAAGGGGAGGGGAAAAAAAGAAGAGAAGGAGAAAAAGAGAAAGGAAGAGAAGCAAAGAAGGAGAATGGAAGATAGAAAGAAAGGAAGATAAAAAAAGAAGAAAGAAGAGGGGAGTAGGAGAAGAAGGGGAGGGAGGGAGAGGTTGGCGATGGGATGGAGGGGAGGAGAAGATGAAGAGAAGCTGGCGTTGACGGGCCAAAGCAACGACGCTACGAGGGCCAACCGTTACGAACTAAGCCAAGTCCAACTGCGCCGATGTCGAGCTCCATCAGGCGGGTCGCTTTGGGCAGAGGATTATATGTTATTATGTTATGAATTATTGAGATAATTGACACTCCCAGCTTCATTTCTATTATTGCTGAATATTCACATATATGGATGCTATAGGTATGGTAGGTATATGGAGTAGTGGTGATGATACGACCAATATTGAGGTAGTATTGCCCGGAGATACTCCAAGATGCAGTACCGTCCTACCATCATAGAATCAGTATCAGCATAACTCAGACTCAGATCCAGATCAAAACAAATTGCCTTGACTGACTCCCTTACCTGAACATGTCTGTGCCCCATGGCTAGTCGAGTCAATCCCGAGGGCTAATCTTCTGGCACATGTAAGAGTCAGAGCTAAAGAGAAGCCGTTAGTGATGGGGACTGGGCTGTATGCTGCGAGCACCCGAATGGCATACATTTACAGCGTATATATTGAACGTGTTCTCCATGGATCATTTCATCATCATCTTGTTCTTGATTACAATCAGCAACACTGCCTACTACTAAGCTACGTCTACAGTGTACAATCATAATATGATAATAGGGGTTGCCCCGATGTTTCAAACATCGGCCCCAGAGCCGCTAAAGCGCCCAATTCGCTAAAAATGGCCTCTGGAGTTTGCAGTGGCCGATCGTCATCAATTATTTGTTTGCAGCTCGCTGATTGGCCGAGAGGTAGGGTCCCTCCGTTGCTGTTTTGGGAATGGTCATCATCATTTACTGTACTTGATAGAATAAGAGTATCTGTATAAGATGATATCTACTATAGTTATTATATTAATATATGAACTATTATACCACACATACTACACTGTAGGCTATATCTATGCTACCACGGTAGGAATGGTAGGTTGGTTCCAAACCACCACAGCAGATCTTCCAAGATCGGTTCATCGCCCTTAATTTGACTTTTTTTTGCTTGACAACAATTATTATTTCCTACCCCAGATACTCCGTAAGCTAATTATCCCTTGGCTAATTATTGACTCTGGGGATAAGATATACTATCGTTGAAAGGGATGGATTAATTCACCCTAGTACATATCCCCATATTCATTCAACCCATAGATTCATACAGCGTCGTACAGGACTTAAGGTAGCACACAGTCTGTACATGCCTACGGTGGCACAATCCCCCCAACAATCGATGAATCATAAAACTCACCACCTTCCCACCTTCCCCATCCTCCATCGTCATCTTATTTCAAGATGCTCAGACCCTCTTTTGACAACTGGCAGCAGGGTTGGATGAGTTGTCATTGTCAATCCCGGCTCGGAGTTGTTCCTCGTCCAATCGCCTTCCTCGTCCATATCGATGTGGTGTGGCCAACTACCTACTTTTTCGGCGCGGTGGAGTCGAGTGCCCACTATTCATATGTACAGTGCATCACCGGTTAATCTTAACTATCGGTGACAAACTGCACCCTCTCTGCCTTAGCTCTCTGGAGTACATATATATTTAGTATCTGGTCGACTTGCACGATCCATTATTCATTTAACTATGGTCGATCATATCTGGTTCTTTCTCTCCCTTCTATAAATGTCATAAGACATGCCCGTATATTTCAAAACAAATCATGTCACATATCGTTACACCAACCACCTGCTTCTCCCTCTACCGCTTGCCCCCTGACATTGGTGTTCCACCCACCGACCGGGTACCTGAAGCGCTGTACGCAGGAGGCGGTGTGGCGTTGGACGATGGGCGTCTTGCCACGGGATCATTCTTCCCCTGTCCACTGGGGCCCGGGCTGCCAGCAACATGAGAGGGAACCTCTCCGCCGTCCCCCGTGCCCACCAACACTTGTCTGCCATTTCGCATCCGTCCCACGACCATGCCCTTCGCCACAGACTTGATCAGTGCCTTGCGGCTGACCCCAGAGGCGTCAATATACACCAATCCGACGTTCTTGAACCCACCAGTCACGTTCGAGGCCACTGCACCTGCTTCATCTCCGTACCGATGCCCGATCATCGTGCTGGCTGCTTCGCTCCCGGAGGTCAGCACGGTGCGCGCACCCTGCTCAATGCCATCTGCCAGGGTCGAAAATGCGATCATCGACTTGTTCAACACGCCCGGCTTGTAGTCTCCGTTGCCTGTCTTGTCAACGCCCCTTTTCCGGCTGTCTTCCTTGCGCCGGGACATTGAGGCACCAAAGCTTTGCGCGTACTTATTCACTTGGCCAACGGTCTTGGCTGAAATATCCGCTGCACCGTGCGAAAAGTTCCCGATCTTCCGAATTCGAGACTGCGTCGTCTCGGAAAATGTCATCGGCTTCGGATTGGGCTTTGTCTTCTTTGTAAAGCTGTCCGCTCCGTTGGTCAGGGCGCTGGCAAGGTATGAAGATCCCGTGACGACCAGACGAGATGCTGTGGCAGACGTCTGAACAATTGTCGAACCTTTATAGGCGGGGTGCCGAGCCATTCGTAGATACTCTTCAGATACATTGCTGACACTAATCTGGTTGCCTTCGCCTTCAGCAGGCAGTTGGATTTCAACCGGGTCTGGGGGTCATTGTTAGTTGTCAATTCATCATGATAAATGTAGGGTAGCCTCACTCTTAGATCCAGGTTTCACACCAGGTTTCTCCACGACATCGTATCCCTCCATCTCACCAACTACACTGCCATTCTCCTCGTCGATGAGCACGATCGCGCCATGCTCACCGGCCTTGGCATTGGCATTGGCATTGGGGGATGACACATAACCCTCACCGGGTGCATATTCTGCTGGGTTATAAGCGGCATGGCCTTTTGGAGGAGGTGGTGCGCGCTCAAGAAATGCCGTGCATTGTGCCAGAATTGTCTCGAAAGTGTCAACATCCTCCTGCGTCACCTTGCCTGGGCCTGACCCAATACCGGGGAATTGTATGCGAATGAATGCTCCCGCATCAGGCCCCAGGTCCCATCGAGGGATCAGATAACTGTTGGGGGGTTGATGGTAGATCTGAGTTGTTGCCGGAAGCGCAAGGTCCAGCTCCGGGGGAAGATGCAGATGGAGGTAGAAATCTTCTTCCGAAGATGCTTCTGCAGAGGGGGACTGAGGAATTGTGCTTGTTGGAACCATTAGGAGAGAAAGGGTTTGAGGACCCGACGGGGTGAGCTCGGTCTCTTCGCCATGTTGAATATGGAAGGCGAGTATATTGTTAATGCTGTAGAGAAGTCTGGGATCGTGAACGGTTGAAGACATTTTGGTGGGAGATGACAGAAAAGGAGGAATGAGGGGATCCGGAATGTTGATATTGCGGGGGATATGACGTCGTCTCCAAAAGTCGTCCAGGAAGAAAGGATTAATCAATATAAAAATACAAGGTATCACAGATATCCAAAAAAAAATTTATGAAAAAGAAAGAGAATGATAACCTCTCGATAGATGGGAATCGTAGTAATTTATAAGTGAACCAAAGCGAAAGCCAGCGAGGGGGAGATGGAGGGGTCCCATTATAACTATTCGTCCCAGACCGGATTATCTAAGCGCCAAGTTCTGCAGGCGGGAGGTCTTGGCACTACTGCGCCACACCGCCACACCTGCACCGCCACATATCTGTGCCGTTCCTTTGCTTTCTGTCGAATATGAAGCATTTTAAATGGTCAAAGAATGATTCATTGCTCCATATTTCAGATCGTTATGGAATCCGGGGTTCTCGGCTCGTATCATCCAATAGTTATGGGACATGGTGATGTCAGTCTCTGACTGAGCGCATCGCCAGCAAAGATCGGCCAGCGGCTACTCCGTTCCCCTCGGTGGGCGCGTAGGTATTCTTCTATCCTTAACGCGGCATCTCGAAAAATTCCAGCTAAAAAAAGAAATGGAGCGTTTCCAAATTATTTCCGATCTCCATCTCGAGACGCCCTCTGCATATGACCTGTTTGACATCCCACCCCAAGCGCCTTATCTCGCTCTCCTCGGCGACATTGGCAACGTGCAGGATGATGGCTTGTTTGAGTTCATCAAAGTCCAACTTCGACAATTTGAAATCGTTTTCTTTCTCTTAGGGAACCATGAGCCCTTTCATTCGAGCTGGCCGACTGTAAAGAATAAAATCCAGAGCTTCTCTCATTCAATCGAGCAACAACAACAACTGAATGCGGGGCAATCTGCTTCCTCGAAACCCCTCGGGAAATTTATATTTTTGGATCAAACGCGATATGACATCTCTTCTGACCTGACTGTTCTCGGGTGTACGCTCTATTCCAAGATCACGAAACCCCAAGAGGAAACTGTCAGTTTCGGTCTGAACGACTTTTACCAGATCGAGGATTGGACTGTCGAAGGCCATCGTGCAGCTCACGAAGCCGATCTCACATGGCTCAACACCCAGGTCTCGAACATGGCCAGAACAGACCCGCAGCGCAAAATCATGGTGTTCACCCATCATAGCCCGATATCCGCGGATGCCCGTGCGGTTGATCCTAGACATGCCAACAGCTCCATCTCTTCAGGCTTTGCGACGGACCTTAGGGGGCAGACTTGCTGGGAGAGCCCTCGAGTGCGTGTTTGGGGATTTGGACACACGCATCATAATTGCGATTTCACAGAGGAACGGACTGGCAAGAGAGTCATTGCGAACCAGCGAGGGTATTATTTCTCCCAAGCAAAGGGATTTGATGTGAAGAAGGTCATTAGTATTTAAATAGACATGAGTATCCAGCAACTAGCGACACGGTAGCAATAGTAAGATATGAATGACGAGGACATTGTCTTGTGAGTAGGAGCGGATATGAAAGATGGTCCCCGCGGTCCCAAAGCAGCCGCGGTTAACCGAGGCTTCTTTCGCTCCCTCGTGATTCCTCCCAAGCCAGCTTCTTCCTTTTCCCCAAATCCTCCTCTTTCTTTCCTTCTCCCCTCTTCACAAGACTTGAAATTCTCCTCTTTGATCAACTAGACTATTCTGCATTTCATTTATTCATGATGGCCTCCATTGCTCGCGCTTTGCGGCCCTTGTCCCGCAATACTGCTTCTCTCCGACTTGGAGCTACTAGACGGCCATTGCCCACTCGTGCAATTACTAGGTACGCCACAAGCTCCCACGTCTTTACAAAATTTAAATATAGCAATATAGAGTGCTTTATGAGATACTAACTTGCACAGCACCCATGCATTCTCTACCACTTCCCGCCGGCGGGATGTCGACTTGTCCCATTTGACCCCTACCCCAATCAGCCTTTTGTCCGAAACGGAATCCCTCATGTCCGAATCGGTCTCCAAATTCGCCCAAGAACAGATCGGTCCTAAGGTCCGCGACATGGATGAGGCCGAGACCATGGACCACACCGTCGTTGAGCAGCTGTTCGAACAAGGTATCATGAGTATCGAGGTTCCCGAGGAGTTTGGCGGTGCGGGGATGAACTTCACCGCCGCCATCGTGGCAATCGAGGAGCTGGCTCGCGTTGACCCCAGTGTCAGTGTCCTTGTCGATGTCCACAACACCCTTGTCAACACCGCCATCCTCAAATACGGTGACGCCCAGGCCCACCGAACATGGTTGCCCAAGCTGGCTACAGGCACAGTCGGCTCGTTCTGTCTGTCTGAGCCAGCCTCCGGATCGGATGCTTTTGCTCTGCAGACCAAGGCCGAGAAGACGGCGGACGGTTACAAGATCAACGGATCCAAGATGTGGATCACCAATGCCATGGAGTCTGGTATTTTCATTGTCTTCGCCAACCTTGATCCCAGCAAGGGATACAAGGGTATCACCGCCTTTATCGTCGAGAAGGATACCCCAGGATTCTCGATTGCCAAGAAGGAGAAGAAGCTTGGTATCCGTGCCAGCAGCACCTGTGTGCTCAACTTTGATGACGTCGTCATCCCCAAGAGCAACCTGCTCGGTGAAGAGGGCCAGGGTTACAAATACGCTATCAGCGTGCTGAACGAAGGCCGCATTGGTATCGCTGCTCAGATGACCGGTCTGGCCCTGGGTGCGTGGGAAAATGCTGCTAGGTAAGACTACCCAATAATAGACAGCCTCAAAAGAATATCTACTCACCAATGCTACAGCTACGTCTGGAATGACCGTCGCCAGTTCGGTCAGCTTATCGGTGAATTCCAAGGCATGCAGCACCAGCTCGCCCAAGCCTACACTGAGATCGCGGCCGCAAGAGCTCTCGTCTACAACGCTGCGCGCAAGAAGGAGGCCGGCCAGGACTTTGTCCAGGATGCCGCCATGGCCAAGTTGTATGCCTCGCAGGTTGCCGGCCGCGTTTCTGGCAGTGCCGTCGAGTGGATGGGCGGCATGGGATTCGTGCGCGAGGGTGTCGCCGAGAAGATGTTCCGTGACAGCAAGATTGGTGCCATCTACGAGGGCACAAGTAACATTCAACTGCAGACAATTGCCAAGCTTCTGCAAAAGAAGTACACTCAATAAATTTTGGGATTCTCTTTTTTTTCCCGTTGTTATTGCGTATATTATTGGCGTCTGTCAGTGTTTCTGGAGGTTGGTTTCAGGGCTCGGTGGGGTTTCATTCTACCACCCACTGACGCATTTATATGATCATGCACGCTGCCCTGCTTTATGGAGGATTAAAGCATTTGTATGATATAACCCATATTTCGGTATAGAACCAAGTATTTTTCTTTCAAGCCGTGTGAGATCCGAATAGCACCGCTCCCTGGAATGCCGACTGTTTTCTGTTGAGAGGTACTGGAAACTTTCCCACTGTCTATGGAAGACAAACAGCCCAGTTATCCGATACACCAGCACTACCCGTTGACGATTCCCAAACCCTGTTCTGACGCCCTTTATATCCTACCCAGGTGTATTGAGCGAGCAGTTCGTCGTCGGCTTCGATTGGAATTGGTTTGCAACACTGCTACTACGACTGGCCTCGATGCTATCATCGCTAAAGGGTTCACCGTGGTTACCTAGGAATCATACCATCAGTTATCAATCACCAATACCACTGGATGCGAACCGTTCATACGTGCAAATGTGGGTCAATACTTAGACTGGATCTTTTTCATCAATTGAATTCCCTGATGGATTTGCAGGATGGCCGTAGAGCGGCTCCGTTCAGAAGCTTATAACCCAAGCAGCTTGGATGAAAGTCATCCAAGCCCCAGGACTCCAGCTCAAGGTTGGTGGGCCCAATAATTGAACTGTTGGTTTCTCTGCTGCTGATCGATAGGGGGTTGGTATTGTGGTGTGGCCTGGAAGATAGGGTATCTGGTTGGGTCTCTTTCTGGCGGAACAGCTGGCACTGACGTGGACCGCTGGCTGGGAACGGGCGGCATGAGTTGATGAGGATGTTGCTGAAGATCTCCCCCGAGTCTTTCTTGGGAATGGTCTGTTTGGTAGAACGGTGGAAACGGTTGAGGGGTAGGATCGGGTGGTGGATGGTTACCACCAGGGCCAGCATAGCCCATATGTTGCGACGGTACCTGCTGCGACGGTACCGTCATCGAAGGGGGAGCTTGTGATATTCGAGGAGCTTGAAGTTGACCCTCGAACATACCAAACGACTCAACTTTATTCGGATAGTCTGCGTCTGATGACTCGCATATCGATGGAGACCGTGTCGAACTATAGTGTTGCCAGTCATGCGCGAGGGAGACCTGACTCGAGGACGAAAGCACTGACGGTGCTCTGGGGACTGGATGTACACCAAGAGTGGTAGGGATATTCAGCTGGGAAGGAATCGTAGGCCCGGGTGGTCCAGCGTACGATACTTCTGCTTATCCCAGAGGGTTAGTTTAAGGACTGTCACCCCCAGTACTGCGCATGGACAGAAAGAATTGCCACTCACGAGGATTTGAATACCCTTGCCCGCCAGCCACCATAGACAGTTGGTGCCTCAACTGATTGATCTCCCCCTCCAAGGCAACATTACGCCGGACTATATCATCATATCGGTCGCCCTTGGCCTTTAGCTCCGCCACTTGATGCTCCAGTTGTTCAATGTGTTCCTTTGTTCGCTGACGGATCGTCCTCTGGGCTTCTCGATCGTTGGCTCGCTTTCTCTCCAGCTGTTCGGCAGAGAGAGATGTCACCTTGCGAGTCCCCGCACGCGACTCTCGTTTTCTGGGTCCAGAGATTTCTTTGTTCATAGTGTCTTCTCAAACTCGTGGGATCGATAGTTCCCACAATAACAGCTCGACGTTGATTTTTTTTTTCTTTGCGTCAAACAATAATGCGTCTTTTGCGGCTAGCAGACATGGACGCAAAAAATCAACGCGAAGCAGCCCCGGCTGGCGTGGGCCACAAAGAGTTCGTTCTCTGTCAATACGTGACTATAGGCGTTCCATGTGCGTGGGTCACACTAATCTTGCTATGGGAAGAAACCGCTTCATATACGCAGTAGTCTCGTCAGGGAGGCCGATGGATGTAGATAACCTTTGAGTTAGTGTTGGGAACGATCTGTTTCTGGTGTTTCAACCAGTTGAAACAAACGAGCAAAGTGCCCCCATGTTCGCACCAGATCTTAGAAATCAGGTGCAGCCGTCCTTAAGTAGTAGACACTAAGGGCTAAGGCACGTTCTCCAGATCGCCGGGAGGCTGTTTTTCCAGAGCATTGAACAGATAGTCTCCCGACACCATACTAACGGTCCCCCCTCCGACATTTGGGCCAATAAGCAGACCCAAAGAATAAACAAAACGCAGTAGAATACCAGAGTCGACGTAGTAATTAAGGGAATAGCGCCTCTCGCCGAAGAGCTATTATTATGGGTCTTGCGTCAGGGCGCGTTACCCGGCTTTTCCGACCTACCAATGCTCTTATTCGTGGCTCGAGGGGGGCAGTTGTTACCCTTGACGGTCTGGCGCGACAACAGTCAGACCAGACCAGTAAAGTACCGAAAGGTAGTCTCGATGGGACGTGCAGCAAGCTCAACGGATTCAATGCAGGTCTGCGGCAACGGCCAATTAGTCCACCAGGAGTTATTTTTTCCATGGCTGTGTTGGCAGTCCCTGGTGCTGCGCAGATATCAAGAAAACCGGGTTGATGCTGGTGCACCCCTCCACAAATTAGGGCTCTAATATTGAATGATGCCAACCGTTGTTCGGTACTTGGCCGCGCTCAATAATGATGCACTTTGAATCTGTAATTCGTGGCCATTATTTCGTACAACAATAGCAGTCGTTGTTGGTGTAAGGCTGGGTGGATCCTCATACATACATTCACGCCACATGGTGAGGTCTCCAAGGACCCAACAACATGTGTTTCCGTTATTTCTCCAAACCAGAATCTTTCAAACCTCCATTGCTTGAGCTACCAGCCTGTTGTGTGCCGGCATCCGCAATCCGGACCCCAGGTAGAGATCCAAAAAAAAAGAAACTGGCTGGCCAGGGGTCTACGGAGAGGGGAAAGTTTCATGACCTCATGCAAAAAGGAGAACAAAGCCGACTGGGCCCGGAGTATGTATCCCGATCTTCGTTCTCTTATTTGGAATGATTGATCTGCTGGTCTTGGCGGCCGCTAAACTATGCCTCCAGAACGACCAGGAGGGTTCCAGTCTAAGTAAGACTTGTCGATTCACACATGGATAGGCATCAGCCATGCGCGCCTAGCCGCCGATAAAGCGACCTAGTGAACATGGAGACAAGGACGACGGAGGCCTATCGGCCCCAACCGTACCTAGAATCTCCATGTCGGATCTTATGTAGAAGTGAGCCAGAGTCCGAAAGCCAGAAAACGTTGATGGTGCTCGCCACGAGGCAAGCCGACTCCACCGTTCCAAACTTTCCGTCAGCAGTAGAGGAAAGGAGAGCAGCGCAGAACCTCCGGGGAACACGAACAAAATAGCGGATCAGAGGGCTGACTGCAAAACCAAGATCCGTAGATCTTAATATCCAACGTATCACAATTGTTGGTACGAACAGACGCCTAAAGTTGAAAGCCTTGTGTTGGGAAAGGGGGAATGGCGCATAAATTGTACGGAGAAATCTTGCTCTTTTTTATGCTCCTGCCGCCAAAGGTTAGCTCAGAAAAAACCGCCCGAGTCGGAGTTTAGAAATAAACCCTATTATGTCCATATCCCACTCGGCAAATACGCATCTATACGGGGTTAATTAAGAGTGGTATCTGCTTAAACTAGGCAAAGTAGTAAAGTCCATAGCAGAACCTTGACTTCCAAGTTCCAATTGACTTCGAAAAGCCGATTGATAGGCTACTCTCCGAGCGGACTGAGACTCTGAGACAAACTAGATTTGGTCTGACCGTCTGGCCGTATCACCTTTGGGGCTTGAAAGAATTGCAGAGGTTGTCAACCACAATGACACCAACGCCGGAGTCAAACTGTGGATCTAATGCATAACATGTTATGGAGGTCGGAGTCCGTCGCACACCATGGATAATGAGCTGTGGTCCCATGGGCCCTTGGGGTTGCCAATGTTACACTTTGGGAAATTGGTGATGATCTCTCGAACCCAGGATCGCCATTCATAGTTGTCTGAACATTTGACCCTGTGCCTTATTCTATTATTATTGTTGTTGTGTTTGAACAAAAGGCAGAAACCAGCAACATCGATAGTCAGTGCCTATCTCACTTTGCTGTGGTACCGGGCGCGACGGCAAGGCTCCAGCCCCGACCAAACTAGTGAACAGAGTCTGTCGATTGGAAAGGCTGGCAAGTTCAGCCTCGTAGCTATCTCTTCCTGTTCCTTGTAAATGCAGGGGTTATCGAGGAAAGTCTCTCGTGTACAAATCTGCGGCATAGCAACTCCTGGTGTCCTGGTACCAATCAGCCTAAATCGATCTTTATTGGGTTCATCGTGGTTCTTGCCCTCCATTTGGGTAAATTTCGGCCCCGTATTTCTCTACGGTGAGAGAGTTGTTTTATCTGTTTGGATGCGGTGTACGAAGCCTCGAGGCTGTCACTGCACCTAGTGATGCACCTGGATAGTCTGGAGATGGCGCAATGGATACATAGACAAGGCTGACAGACTTGACTTCCTATTTGTGCCACAAGAAGTGATTAGTATTTATTTTCCACGCCCCAAAGAACATTATGGGATGGATAGGCTGCCTTGTCAGAAGGAGCTGGTGGAATGACCCCAAACCGCTGAGGTTTTGCATCTGAGACAGCCGGTATGGGTCTAGAGTTCTCGAATCTCCAGTCCATTATTATTGACTTGCAGAACGCTGCCCAATTCTCCTGGACACGGACTCTATGCAATCATCTCGAAATGGGGATTGAAACATCCATCTTCAAATAGAGTCGTTGTTGAGCAGAAGATGATCTTGAAGGTGGCGATGAGAAGGTGTTGTTACACCCCAGCGCAAAGCGGATGTAATCCAAATACGGTAAAACGGTAACATACGCTGAACATGACACTCGTCCACTTTGAATCAACGTATCCTTAAACGCTCCGCCGCCAATCGGTTAATTTCTCGACCATCAAGGCTTTTCTTGACAGGAGAATTGACGATCAATCATATTATGGGATTAGATGGTCTCTGTCCTACTCATAGCCAGCGGTTCGGAATTATCACGGTCATTTGAACCCAGACTCGGTCAATATGGATTCGAGCTATAAAGCTCGAAAAGAGGCCTTTGTGTCTGACCTCACCGGAGGGGATATCCTGGAGATCAACACAGTCACTCTCGTTGCACCCGTGAGTGGCTTTTATTCAGATCCCTAATGCCTCTTGAATATAATCTTGCTGATCTCAGTGTCTTTGCGATCGCTAGGTTGCTGTCCTTCTTTGGTCTGTCCTTCAATCTCGCCTATCCTTCTTCACCCCGTATAGTGCAGCGGCACTTGTAACCGACTTTTTGCTCAACGTACTGGCCATTCTCTTCGCAACAACGATATACTCCTCTGCTCCTCTGCTCCTGAATCTCCTACTGGCCTCCCCGGCTTTCCTTGTTCTACTAAACCGGTCACGGACACGTACCCAACAAAAAGCGAAACCACCACGTCAATCTACTACACCTGAGAAAAATGCCTCAAAGCGGTCACAGGATGCACCAAGCAAGCCGGAATCGTTGCCGATCCACCCATTCCTTACAACCTACCGCGCCGCTATGATGATTATAACCTGCATTGCGATCCTAGCGGTTGACTTCCGTATCTTTCCCCGCCGGTTCGCCAAAGTCGAGAATTGGGGTACATCTCTTATGGACTTGGGTGTTGGGTCATTTGTGTTCTCTGGAGGTGTGGTATCTGCTCGCTCGGTCCTCAAAAGCCGAACTAGCTCATCTACCCGAACACCGTTGCTGCAGAGGTTGATAGCGTCAACTCGACACTCGATCCCTTTGCTAGTGTTGGGCTTGGTCCGGCTATACAGTGTCAAGGGTCTTGAATACGCAGAGCATGTGACTGAGTATGGCGTGCACTGGAACTTCTTTTTCACGCTGGGTCTTTTGCCCCCGTTTGTGGAGATTTTCGATTCCTTGGCTACTTTCATCCCGTCATATGAGGCCCTGGCCCTAGGCACTGCGGTTTTGTACCAAGTCGCTCTCGAATCAACAGACTTGAAGGCCTACATCCTCATTTCTCCACGTGGACCAGATCTATTGTCGAAGAACCGGGAGGGTATTTTCTCCTTCATTGGGTACTTTGCAATTTTCCTTGCCGGACGAGCTATTGGCATCCGGATTATTCCCAGCGGTACATCTTCCAAGTCACCTCAGCAGGCTAGGAAAAGCGTTCTTGTCAACCTGGGAGTGCAGTCTCTGTGCTGGATTGCCCTTTTCGTATTTAACTCAACGTACGCGTCAGGTCTCGGTGCCAACATCCCGGTCTCCCGCCGACTCGCCAACATGCCATATGTGCTCTGGGTCTCGGCATTCAACAATGTCCAACTCTTCCTGTTCTGTCTGGCAGAGACTGTGTTCTTCCCATCGGTGCATCTTGTATCGAGCAAGGAGGGTGAGTTAGAGCGGACGTCTTTTGCGACCAGCCCAATCATGACAGCATTCAACAAGAACGGTCTTGCCATCTTTCTCGTAGCGAACCTCCTCACTGGAGCCGTGAACTTGACTATCCCTACGCTGGACGTCAACACCGCCCAAGCCATGGCTATTCTAATCGGATACGCCGCTGCAATCACGGGTATTGCATTGGGACTAGACTGGGCGAATATCAAGCTGACGTTGTGAGAAGAAAGAAAATTGGCGAAGTTTTGTATATTAGTATAAAAAGCATTCTAGAAATTCCTAGGAAATAAACTTCACCGCAATATGATTGGTCCAAAGTGATCGACATGTGAAAACCGCGGCGGGCGGGGAGCTCCCCAAGCTCATCAGAGGACCCATCCAACTTTTTCGACAAGAACCATCCAAAACTTCAGTCATTCTCGGAAATCACTGTAATTTGAGATCAACATGAGCTCCACAAACGATGGACTCGGGTTTTTCCATTACCCAGAGGTCCGAGAAGGACCATCCGTGCCGTATGAGAACGAGACGCAGTCAATACCCGTCTTCCGGGGCACGCCACTGGCCATCGGAGCTGCGATGTAAGTCTGGAACCATGACGGTCTACAACAGTCTGATGGAACTGACGATGTCTGCAGAATTCACTCGGTCGGCTTCGTCCAGAGCTACTTTTGGCGGAATGCTGGTTTTGGCGTCATCCGTGACATCCGAGAGCTCGACCACTATACTGCGCGATATGATCCGACTGTGATCCCGGTGCGCTCGACAGCAGAACCTTCCACCCAGGAGCTGCCGTCTCCCACCCAGAGAAGAAAGGGAAATTCCGGCTATTACACTTCCGCAGACTATCTCGCCCTCTATAAGTCCGGGGAACTGACGCCTACCGCTGTTGTTGAAGCTCTGCTGCCCTTGATCCGCCGCGATGCTAAACCAGCAGGCAAGCATTCGGTCGCGTTCCTGGAATCGCAGGCGGAGGTTATTCGTGCTGCTGCTGAAGCATCAACACAGAGGTATCGAAAGGGCGAGACACTAGGCCCGTTTGATGGGGTTCCTGTTGCGGTCAAGGATGAACTGCACATTGAAGGATATGCGAGGACGTTGGGAAGTAAATTGGACTTTAAAGGTGGCATTGACGGCACCTCCTGGTGTGTCAAGAAATGGGAGGAAGCTGGAGCCATTGTGATTGGCAAGGCAACGATGCATGAGCTTGGCTTTGGTAAGTGACATCCATCCTGCATGAACGACCTAGCGTCATCTGTGTAGCCCGATTGCTAATTACCATGTGGCGGCAGATACAAACAACAACAACCCCAACTACGGCACACCCAAGAACCCTCACAACCAGAGCTACTACTGCGGTGGCTCTTCGGGAGGCTCCGGATATGCTGTTGGAGCAGGACTGACACCCATCGCACTGGGCGCCGATGGAGGAGGTTCCATCCGGATTCCGTCTTCTTTCTGCGGAATCTGGGGTTTGAAGCCATCACACGGCCGTGTATCTGCCGCACCGACAGTCGGTGTCGCTTCCACAGTCGGTGTCTATGGCCCCATGGCAGCAAGCATTGACGATCTCGCTATGGCTTACCGCATCATGGCAGCTCCAGCTCCATCTGTCGACGACCCCATGTCGGCACTGTTCCCAGACCCCTTAGCTAGCATTTCCTCTACCGAGCAACGGCCCAAGAACAAAACCATCGGTATAGTCAAGGCCTGGATCGACCGTGCCGAGCCCCCCGTCCGTGCCATCTTCGACAGGGCCCTCGACTTCTACCGCAAAAATGGTTACACCGTTATCGACATTACCATCCCCTACCTCCCCGAAGGCCAGCGCGCCCACACCCTCACCATCATGGCCGAGATCTCATCAGGCGTCTCCCTACGACAGATCCGCGACTTGACCCCGCCCAACAAAATTTTCGTCTCGATGGGCATGTGGCAGATTCAATCCCAGGATCTCATCGCCGCCCAGCGCCTCCGCAATCTCCTCATGTCGCACCTCGCTTATCTCTTCCAGAAACACCCAGGTCTCCTAGTCCTCACTCCCTCCACCCCCATCCCAGGCTGGAAGATCGATGGTGGTGAAGCGGACCTCGCTCGCGGCTTGTCAGACGGCAAGTCCTCCGTCCGAAACATGGAGTATGTGTGGCTGGCCAACTTCACCGGCTGTCCTGCTATCAACTGTCCTGCCGGGTACGCTCGTGACGATGGAAGTCCCGTCCCCGTGGGCCTGATGGCTATGGGTGAATGGGGGTCTGAAGAGGACTTGATCGCCTTCGCTAGGGATGGAGAGGCAGTGTTGGATCTTCCCGAAAACCAGATCCCGGCTGCTGATGGTGAGCAGATCACGGGTTTGAGGATCCCGCGTGGCAAGGACTCCCTGTGGGAAGATGTCATTGCAGAGGCCAAAGGGAAGAGCAGTTCCTGAGTTTAATTGACTGATTGGATGATGGTTCAATTCTTTCTACTATTTGCTTGGTCTTTGTGCTTCGTATGATTGTGTCCTTTAATTTATATGTATGATTTAATCATTATCGATTCCATGCTAGCGAATGGGCTGGATTTAAAGCGGTTGGTTATAGCGGGGGATTGATACAAATGGATTGTCTGGTTATCTGTACGTTGAATGTTCGCTGCATTTAATGACTGTGCAGTTCTATCTAGTATGATAGCAAGCCATGATGTGTACTACCTGTAGCTAATCCATGGCATTGATTTCATAAATGACCCGTAAGGAACGATATGGTATCAGACAACCGCCAAAACTCCTGTCCCAAATGTTGCGCCTTTCGCTGGAAACCCCAAAATGAATTGAATGGCAATAGTGAATGCTAATTCGGGGGAAATACTCAACGACCCTCTTCAAGAAAGCTATTGCAGATTGTTGTTCAGGAATTAACAATCTGCCTGAAATAGCCATAAATAGGATGTCAAGCAGAGACGCTTAGGCTTCAAAGTCGAAAAGGAAAACATCTAGCTTGATATATCGGAGAGATGCCCCCTTGAAATCAAATCCATATGCCCTCTCCACGACCAGGGACATAGAATTCACAACCCAACCCGGCTGTCTCTCCATGGCACCTAAGTTCCTTTAGAATTTGGTTCCCAGGAGGGGGTCCATCAGTCAAATCTTCTTTGATGTGGATGATATAAACAGACAGTCCAGCCAAAGGCAGAGGAGTGGAGTCGGCCCACTGGGTACCATCAAACATCTCCGGACCATCAGCATCGTCTCCGTTATCACCGACATCGACGGGATCATGGTTGCTTGGTGTGGGTTCATCATGGACCAGATCAGGAAGTTCGCCAAGATGATCTCCAGAATTATCTCTCGGTCGACTGTCGCTCACAGCAGATGCTCGATTGGGAGATATGCCTGCTTTCCTATCTCTTCCAACAGCAAGACTCTGAGGACGCTTTGATCTCGGGCTCATCTGCTCCCCACTGGGCTCATTAGGGCTGACATCTGCGCGCTTGCGTTTCTCGCCAGTTAAAACGTTTGGTTGCCGGTGCAGCTCGACGCTCGCGGCCAGCACTTTCAATTCAGCGATCAGATGTCGGGGACAAAGATGCCCATAAAGTGAGCAATCATCGACAGAATCACTGTAAGAACATTCAATAAAAATAGCGCGTAGAGTACCGGCAGCCACCTTTGGAGCCGCTAAATCCCATACACGTTTATTGCGAGGCTCGAATGAAATAGAGTCGGGCTCCACATCCCCAAAGACAATAATTTCACTGCCAGTGTGGTCATCACGGAGGAAAAACGCAGAGCTCTCTACGGTTGAAATGGCAGGATCTTTTGCATTCGACGCAAGAAGACGAGGAGAACACGCTGGTGAGTATATGCTAACGAAATTATATCGTCAATTTTGATGTTCGGGAGAAGCGGTTGGGATAGAGCTTACCTTGCATCGGTGTAATCAACCGATATTGCTCTTGAAGGCAACATTAACTGATCCGCTGCAAATACAGTGCTTCCCACACGGTGATGCGTGCCGCTCTCTGGATGGAATTTTTGTTTACAACACCCATGGCTGACACTGAGGCATCTGGCCAGTAGTCCGTTGCACGCCCGAACATACCCCCTTGCCTCTCCACGGCCAAACCTTGGATTTCCACCTTCAACCAAGCGTTGGTACGTGAGCAAGCCAGCCCCGCCATCCTCATCAGACAGGTTTGGCCAAATGACATCGTTGAACATATGGTTTTTGATGGCAGCCACCACCGATGGCAGAGCGGCCACTGCTTTTGGCCCGTTTCCAGCCTCAAGCATTGGTGTATTTATGGCCAACCCTGCTAGATGGTCTAGGTGAGGATGTGTGACGAAGACAGCCCCGATGATTTCTCGAAAGATGTGTGCTGCATTTGCTTGGGCTGTCTTGCACGGCAGATTGAGGCCAACAAACGGCCCTTCTTTCATCATGCGTTTGCCTTCCTTGGACTCGGGCTTGGATTGTTCAAGAGTTCGAATGATCCCGGCGAGGAGGGTACCCGCATCGACAGCAACCACTGAGTTCGATGACCATTGTGTAGATGTAGATCGTACCAGAAGTCCGGTCACGCTGTCTTCACGAGGCCCTCCTGTTGGTCCCTTTTGACATCAGTGTTAGCTTGCCGCTTGTCTCATATGTCAGATCCCGCAATCCGTAGTACACCATGGCATCAATCGCAATTGTTGGGTATTTATATAACTCAAAGATAGAGACAGAGTGTAGAATCACTAAAGCGCATTCGCCAAAATCCTTCATCTGGATTATTGACGGGCCTCGGGGCGATAAAAATAGAAAAACAGGAGAAAAATCTCCGAGACACTCGAGGAGCCAAGACTTACCAAGACAATCACTTGAAACGCTGCTTTGTCCGCCATTTCTTGACAGTTCAGCAGTCTCTGCCAGTCTCAGATAGAAAAAAAAAAAAAAAAAAAAAAAAAAAAAAAAAAAAAAAAAGATACCCCGGTGGCGTTGCGGTTTGATCCAGGAACTGTCCAACAGTTTGGTCACCCGCAAAGGTATCAACCAGTTAGATCTTAGTCTGTTTCTTGCTTTCTAGATGCGACACTTGCGATCTGAAAACTATATCAGCCAGACCACCAAGGATAAGTCTAGTGATGTTTAGAGTAATATCACAGATAGGCAACTTCCTTCCAGTCGATATAGTATTTTCGCATTACCGACAGTTGTAAAGCCAGTGAGAATAAGGCGAATTATCTTGCGTCACATGCGACCTTCTCAACTGGTTACAGAAATCAAGCGCGTGATTCTGACCAACAAAAGAGAGGGAAATATAGACGGCGCACTGCAGGGTTCAAGGTTCAACTTCCAGGATTTAATGGTTGAGATTCTCTCTCCAGTCTTGTATCACTCCGAAAAAACAATAGCCCATGAGATGTGCGACTCTTGTGTGAGAAGAAATGCGATCGAGTAACCGTCGACCAGCGATCGGAACAGAAAAAAAAACAGGGTCGCGATAGGCAGAGTATGACGGGTCGAGGTTATACAGTCGGAGTGTATTGAGTCTGTCCCCACTTGCGCCAGACAACTTCTAACAACAACCCCTGGATATCGAAGGACACATAGAAAACAGTGAGTTGGTTTCGGGGGGGTTTATGTAGGCAAGCGAGAATTTGAGACTAGGTGGCTGGCACTTCCGATCGGGGGGCGACGACAGGACAAGAACGGTGTTGGAAGGGCGGTCGGACCTAGTTTCCTCAAAAAAAACGGCGTCACTCCTGGCAGCAGGCGAACAGGTGATCTAAAGAAATAGACAGAAGCTAAGAAAAGGTAAGATTAGGACACCATGAATCGAGAGAGGGGCAGAAGATGGGGGGGCAAGGCACCTGGAGGAGCTGATTGAAGCTGGCGCGCCGCTCACGTAACGATCGGGCAACAGCGCCTGGCTCGGCCAATGTAACCATATCAAAAAAGACAAGAAGAGGGACTTGAAGGGAGAGGGATTGATGGAGTGAATGGAATTGTCGCCATTGTCCTCTGGTTCTTTGCGGTTGATGCGGATGGAGCCATTGTGGTCGCGAGTTGTGGGGGATGGAGGTCTGGAACCAGGAATGTTGTTTGTTGCCATCGATCTCCATTCTCCAGATCTGAATCTTGTGGGGAAATCCTTGCCTCAATGCCTGGTTATGGATACACAGCAGGCGATGGCTGGTCGCAGCCACCACAGGGCAAAACATATCCTTCTTGAACCCTGATATATGATAATTATTATGATAATGATGCTGACGTTTGGTCTACTTTTCTACTTTAGGTGTTCTCCTGGTGTCTCTCCCCACCCTGCTGCCAATATTAGCATCATGCCAATCGCCATCACCACCCCTCACTATCTCAATCTCAATCTCGCCAAATTATTTATTTCAACCTTAAAAACTGCCGATCTCTTTATGAGAGCAAAGACAAATCGACTTTGCAGCCTAGATGAAATACGAGACTGTGGCTCTGTCTGCCTACGCTAACGACCTCGGTCGCTACGGGATCCACTGTGATGCCTTTGCGGTTGACCGTGTTCAACACCACCTATAAATCAAGGACATGTCTTCTGGTTGTTCAAAACAGAAAAGAGATCTTTTCAAGTGAAAAGCAGCTTCCACTATGTCGTTTCAATTTGTGATCACCACATCAGCTTCGGCTCCCCAGTCAAGCTCCCCTACAGAGCCCCCCAAGTCTCAATCGACACGGTATGACTTGCCTGGGTATACTCTACCTCTAAATTTTACACCCTCAAGTAAAAAGGTTTGTTTTTATCTTATGACTCTCTTGGATGTGGCTCTGACGGTTCAAGCGAGCTGAAACGTTATTTGATAATGTCTTGGACCCTGACCGAATTGAAGACACTGGGTAAGATTCAGAAGAAAGATATGCACCTTGATGACTGAGTATTCCTAGGTCCGAAAAGACTCTCTGGGAAATATTCATGATGCAAATGATGAATGCGATCACCGATAAGCCAGAATGGCATAAGAAGGTTTTTTCACTTCCTGCCACAATACCTGTTCTTCGACTGACAGGAATAGGTTTTTGATGAGAACATCACATCCAAATGGAAGCAAGAGATAGCCGATAGTGGCAGGGATCTCACGCCAGAGATGATCGATTATGTCATTGACGAGTTAAAGTACAATTCAAAAGCATTCCAGGAGACTGGCATTATAAGTGCTTTCGACGGTGAGGTGGTCAAGTCCGACACTGCTATCTCAGAAGAACTTCGACATGCCCTCAAGGAAGCAGTACGGCCCCTTGAGGAAATTCCCGAAGACCAAAAGGACTATCATCCTTCGTCTGACGATAAGGTTGTTGACTTGGTACACCCATCCCTGTTCCCTCTCGTATACGGCCGCAGTCGGATCCTCAAAGACACCGTTACCGGACTAGATGACTTTCTGAATCGCTCGGGACAGGGCGAGACTCTTGCTGTTCCCCCAGAAAAGGACGCCTGGATAGGTTACGGTAACTATCTATCCAGGGGTAGGTCGCGAACACCCTACAGCCGGAAGTTCCAATGGCTGCCTTGCGATGTGGAATTGGATGACAATGACGGATGTCGCATTGCATCTTACATTAACAATCTACGTCCGGACAAGCATTCAAATCTATATGAGATCATTCAGAAGATCATTTCACAGACAATTCCGCTGTGGAACAAGACTCTGACGCCATTAATGGATGATCCTCACAATCGAATTAACTATTCGAAGGTTGTTTACCTCCCAGGTTCAACTCCCAAGCCCAAGCAAGAACCCGGTGAAAGTGAGGACGACTATTGGGATCGTGAATGGGAATGGGAAACATCTAGGCCTGTGAAAGCGCCTCATGTTGGTAAATTCAGGCCCCCGATAGTCTTTTCAGAAGATGAAAACGTGAACCTACACCGCTCCTTCCGGGAAAAAGGTTTGCAGGTGATAGTTAAATTGGCCAACATCGAATTGACTCCAGAGAAGCCATCGTATGCAGGAGGCTCGTGGCATATTGAGGGGCAAATGGTATGTCGTTTGGCGCTCCTTTGAAGTTCAAATTACCTCCCCCCAATCGATACTAATACCACACTTAACAGAACGAGCACATCTGCGCCAGCGCAATTTACTATTACGACAGTGAAAACATCACCTCAAGCACCCTCTCCTTTCGACAGCGGGTACGCACATCTGAAATCTCAACGGAGGTTAGCTATGAACAAGGCCATAATCGCTGGTTAAAACAAGTCTACGGCTGCAGCAATTACGGCCCCGTCACGCAAGACCTAGGCAGTGTCTCCTGCAACGAAGGCCGTCTCATCACCTTCCCCAACATCCTCCAACACCGCGTCTCGCCCTTTGAATTGGCCGATCCCTCGAAACCAGGCCATCGCAAGATCCTCGCTCTCTTTCTCGTCGACCCGCATATCCGCATCACTTCTACCGCCAACATCCCGCCCCAGAGAGCGGACTGGTTCGAGGAAAAGGTGAATATTCGACGGGACCTGCTGGAGAAGAGACTACCTCCTGAGTTGCAGAATATGGTCCTTGAGAATCTGGATAACTTTCCCATCACAATGGATGAAGCTAAAGAGCTTCGACTGGAGCTTATGGGAGAGAGGTCGGCGATTTCTGACCAGCATAATGAGCTCTTCGCGGAGGGACAGTTTTCTCTTTGTGAGCATTGATTGAGTTTCTCGTCAGTAGGGAGGGTCTTTATAGATGGCCATTTACTGGTTCTGCTATTGAATTTGTAAATGTATCAGCAGAGAAATAGATACCTGATAACTATAGGATAAGCTTTAAGAACCCGATCAGTCGAATTTTGGTCAAGAAACCAAACCACAGGGTTTGCTTCCTCGGTTTTAGAATAACAGGAGTATAGGGACATGATGTCAAAATCACCACTAGTCATTTAGCGAATAATTCCCTTGGCCCCGTTCGCCAAATGACACAAAGCTCAGAGGATATAACAAATATACAACATATAGAGAGAAGATAAGATAGCCCCCAGTCCCTAAGTACGTAACTTCATTTGATCACCACTTCCAAGTGGTATAAACCATAAAACCCAGAAGAGCCCACCCACGAAACGCCAGCCATGGCCGCTAAATTTGAACAATAAGAGAAACAAACACCAAAAGGTCAAATAAACGCCAGTGTGGTATACACATAGTCAATCCCCGTGAGCCAGAAGAAAAAGAAGAAAAGGCTTCCATGCCTCGCGGCGTCGCATTTAACGATGCTCGTCGTTTTGTGAAATAGCAGCATCGTAGCTAGGAATTGGTGGGTGACCTCGAGGCGAAGAATCCGATGAAGCATCGCTGCCTCGTCGACTTCCTCCAGGGCTCGAGTACTCCGGAGGCGGGCATTGGTTTATGTCTTGTGTATTCAACATCAAGGAATCTTGCTCATTATCTCCAATGTTTTCCCGGCTCGATCCTTCTCCAACGTCTTCATGTGATGGAATATGGGCAAGTTGAGCGAGTGAAATGTCCGTAGGTGACCGGACTGGTCCTGGGCTATGAGACGGTGGAATCCTAACTGTTGTGCTCGTCCGCGCTTGGCTAGCAGCTTGATACACTCGGTGTGAAATTTGGGCAGCACTCTCTCGACCAGATTCCAGTAAGATACTGCCTTGTTCGCTGCCGTATGGGGGCGGTGGGGCCAAACTACCCGTCATTGGAGCCAGACCCCATTTCTTAACGTTGGCTTCGATGAACACGAATCCCATCTGGCCGAAATTCACATGCATCGTGCATGGCCCGTTGGCACCAATAGTTGGGAAGAAGTTTTGTGCCTTTTGGCCATGAACCACGTCCTCCAATTTCTTGCCGTTACGCGTAAAGAAGATGGTACCGGAACGGGGGCGATAGCCCACTCCAATCACATCGCCTTGGGTCAACGGCGGGCCATATGGCGAGGGCGCAAAGGGTTGGTTATGTCTCCGATGACCGGTGGATTGGTATGCAACTGATGCTTTGTGAAGACCTGGAAAGACGTGTGTTAGCATGCTTTACAACACCCAATGAAGATCTTAACCAACGCACCTGGCAATCTGAAGAGTGGATAGGGTTTGGTAGTCATGCCAATGCTGACAAGAGTGGTTTCGGGTTTGTCGAAGACCTTGGCCTCCCAATAGTAGACGTCATTCTGTTTGGGGACAGGCAAGTTCGTTTGGACGCTGCATTCCGAATCAAAAAACTCAATTTCCGTCCGGGCTTCAACGAAACAATTTGCGATTTCCAGCTCGGGTTGGAATTCCCAAGCTGAGACACCCTTTTCTTGTATCGCAAGGAATTGGGATAGCGAAATATCGGTTTGCATTGACTCGGGGGGATTCGCTTCAACAAATGCTAGAAGCAACCGAATTAGCACAAATCATCTACCCAGATAAACCGAATGTAAAGCCCACCTTTTGCCCTCATGTACTCCGACCGCGATAGGTCATCCATGACCTCCAACGCATCCGCCTCCTCGCGCGCAAACGCCTGTTCGTCGTCATATTCACCCGGTCGCCCGATCCGGTCGAGGATAATTCTGCCGCGTTGAGTGTATTTAAAGAAGAAAAAGATAGCTAAAACGATAACTGCGACGGCTGCAGAGCCAAAGGCTGAGAGAACGCCGATTAAAATCCCTTTTCCGGTGGAACCGGACGAGTTGCCACTGGCGTTGACAAGGTTGTTGTTTTCAATATCGGCGGACACCTCCAACACAACATTTCGGATACTCGATGCAATTTTATCAGGGTCTGTCGTAGCCTGCAGCAGAGGATTTGTAGATGATGCGGTCGGGGTGCTTATCACGGAGGTGGTGAGGGTCGAGGGAAGGCCGTAGAGAGCACCGGGACCCGATGCCTCAGATCCCCGCATCGTTCATCGACTGGTGGTGTGATTTGCTGGGTTATTGTGAACTGTGACGCAAAACAAATAAACCCACAGGTTTCCGGTTCAAGAGTAGAGTCGAACTGGAGGTGGGGAAAGGACGAAACAACGTGGAATTAGGGAGAGGGCGATAAGTCGAGGAGATGATGGAAGAGAAGGCAGAGGGAGATCCGGCGGGTATAAGTCGCTGTTTGGGTTGGGTGGATGACGCTCGGAGGCTTAGCAGGCCATCCACGACGCTTCCGGGCGCTGCATTCAGAGCGCTAACAGTCGTTTTTAAAAAGAATCGCCAATTCCTCTCGTTCCTAGTCTATTTATTTTAAATATACCTTAAATGCAAGGTCAGATGAGAACCTAAAGGGATATTGCATTTCTCGTTGCATCAATTTGCGACGGTTTTGCCTCTCCTGGCCTGTCCTGCTCTCGCTATCAACCACAGCCCCCGATCACTAACTCGACCTAGGACAGATAACATTTCTCCTTCCCCTCTTTTTGCTCGCTATCCTGTCCAGTCCTTCTCCCCTGTCTGCTGACTGCTGACTGCTCCTTACTGAGCTGACCTCTGCCTGGATATTTTCATCCCCCGTTTCTCCTTTTCAGCACGTTTCGTGTCGAGCAGAATGCGTGCCTCGGGGTTGATTCATCATCCCTTGGCATCCTCCTTCGTGAAGGTCCAGTCGAATATTAACATCAGTCCCTTTGACAGTTGCGATATTCGAATCATCATGGATAGGAATGACAGTAACAAATATCCAGGTCTGTATATGATGGAGATCCCCCCTGCGTAGAGCAGAGACCGTGGCAGAGCCTTGTTCCCTCCCTCTTCTCCCACCTTGATCGGTCCTGTTGTCCCTACGGCTGACGGTAATGTTCTGGGCAGCGAAACAACATGCTCGCAGAGTCGCTGCACAACTCGGAATTTCAACTGGCCTCGTTTATCTAGTCGGTCAGCCGACAGTCAATTGGAGTGATTCGGACCAAGAGCGCTTGTTTCGGCAGAGACGCTACTTTTACTACCTCAGCGGAACAGACGAAGCAGATTGCTATCTGACCTACGATATCCGAGCCGACCTATTGACGCTCTATGTCCCAAATTTCGATCTTCGCCGCGCAATATGGATGGGCCCGACACTGACAGTCGAGGAAGCCCAGGCGCGGTACGATGTAGATGATGTCCGTTATTATGACTCTCTGCAAGGCGATATTGAGCATTGGGCAGCCAAGAACAACCAAACAAGTCCGGTTTATATTCTTCACGACTCACAACGACCTACAATGGTCTCCATGAATTTTAACTTGGACGCTGCACTACTCCGGCCCGCTATGGATGCGGCTCGAGGTGTCAAGGATGAATATGAGATTGAACTGATTCGCCAGGCAAATAAGATATCTGGCCTGGCCCATCGAAAGATTCTCGAAAGTATAGGCAGAATGACCTCCGAGTCGGAAATTGAAGGCTCGTTTTTGGATACCTGTGTGTCGCACGGAGCGAGAAACCAAGCATATCAGCTCATTGCCGGTTCTGGAGAGAATGCAGCAGTCCTTCATTATTCAAAAAACAACGAGCCCCTCGAGGGTAGACAGCTGGTCTGTCTAGACGCGGGTGCAGAGTGGAACTGCTACGCCTGTGACGTGACCCGGACCATCCCCCTGTCAACGACAGGAGACTGGCCAAGTGTGCACGCCAGAAACATCTACCACGTTGTGGAAGAGATGCAGGAAGAGTGTATCAAGCGCATCAAAATAGGTGTCAGGTTCCTGGACCTGCACGTGTTGGCACACGAGATTGCAATTAGAAGATTACTACAGTTTGGGATTCTCAAAGGCGGCTCCGTAGAGGAGATCCGCAAGTCCGGTGCGTCGACTGTCTTCTTCCCCCATGGGCTGGGCCATCATGTAGGATTGGAAGTGCACGACGTCTCAGGAAAGTCGCTCACTGCTCTTCGGGACGACCACTATGATGCTATGCTCATACCAGCTATTGGCCATTCTCCATGCACACTCTCCGCGTCCTATTTGGAGGAAGGAATGGTCGTCACCGTTGAACCGGGAGTATACTTCTCCCGTTTTGCCCTAGCCAATGCCCGAAAGCAGCCACTGGCCAAATACATCGACTTTGAGGTGGCGGCCGAATACGTCCCAGTCGGTGGCGTACGAATCGAAGATGACATCTTGGTCACCAAAACTGGGTATGAAAACCTGACGACGGCACCCAAAGGAAATGAGATGGTCGAGATTATCCGTCGCGGGATCGGCAATTAGCCAGCCTTTAATTTCAACGCTCCCCAGAGGCCCAGACGGAAAATGGGCCTTGCATCATCGATGTTTAGCATACGACATCTGTACCTATCAAATGGCAGCGTGGTCTCTCACAGACGGCTTGTGTTTCAACTGAGCAAGATGTGTCTCCATTAACCACCCAGAGCCAGATCCATAATTACGTGCCACCACACACCTCATTTCTGTTGTGTAAAATCTAGATTCTAAACAAAGATCTCGCAAGCCAGAACCAGCAAATAAGAAGAAGAAAAAACACAAAAAAAAAAAACTTTACCAACTTCCATCTCAGCTAATCCAGCCCGTGAAACCGTGTTGTGCGTCCATGTTTCTTTGTTGCGTGATGACGGCTAAACATGGCGGTGTAACCGGTACCGTGTATGGCCTCTGTAACAGCCCCGATCGGACCGTACGGCACTGCAGCTTATTTCCACCGAATCTGGGCGAAAATGCAAGCAGACCCAGCGGCATCGGCGGTGTATTGTATTGTCACGATACCGGCGCCGAGAAAAATAAGGTGTTGCTGTCGTGGACTGTCGTCAGTTGGTGCCTTTTGCAGTCCCCTGTCACACCATTTGACACCATTGCTCGGCCCGGGCTGCAGTGAGGTCATGATTCATGAGAGCTTGCAAGGTTTTTTTTGTCTTATTGTTTTTTCTTTGCCCTATATGTCTCCTGATTTAGATACATTGCGAATATTATTCGGGATTGTCGTTATTTGGTGGTGGTGTGGTGTGGTGCTAAATGGTGACTCAACGGCATTGCCTCAGCCTTTTTGCACTACACAGGAAGATGTACAAAGTAAGGAATGTACGTGGATTCAAAGCAGAGCAATAGTACCATCCACGAGCCCAAATAGTACTGTACAAATGTTCTCCTTGGAGCACTATTACGGGGAGCTCTATACAGCTCCGAAAGAATGCAAACTAGGTACGGAGTAGGTATGACTCGATGCAAAAATCTGCAGGGAAACCCACTTCTTTGCCTTAGTCCAGACCCCCAAGTCATCATTAGGTATTCCTGCTTCTAGACTTGTGCCTTGTGGAGTTTGTCAATCCCGATTCCCGAAGCAGGGAGAGCATTGGTGGACCCATATTTTCTCGGGTGATGGCTTTTTTTTTTCTGGGTCCTGCTGGATAATAATGGAATTGCGTTAGTATTGGTGATCCCCTTTGTGTGTGGTGTGTCTGACTCTGGAGATGTAAAACTTGGTTCGTAGTGAGTCACACCACCGATTTCCAACTCATCGGGGCTGAAGTGTATATAATCATCCTTCAGCCCACGATGCCTTCCATTCCTTTTTGGTCTTTTCCTTCCTTACCTCCTCTCTTCCTTTACAAGGGGGTGATGGTCACTCCCCTTCTACCTCTCTAGTTGCGTCAATCCTTTTCCGTCACGACTGTAACGACTTTATCAAAAAAACGACTCCGATTTACTGCTGTCTGTGTTTGGGTTGAGAATGGGCCAGAGGCACAACAGACGTCGGACACGACCACGATCTCGCAATCGCAGCATCGATACCATCGCTTCAATTGATTCCTCATTCCGTCCTGCGAGCTCCTGCAACTCCATCTCCGCAATCGATACCTCCAGCCTATTGGAACCGTCGTCGGCCTGTGGTTTGCGTGACGCCATTTCAATACCCTCCGCCCATACCTGGCACTATGGGTATATGGCATGGCAGAAGCGTGAGCGCAAGCAGCGGTTAGAGGCTGCAAAGATGGAGGCGGAACAGTGTCGTCTTTTCGGCGGTGAGCCGGGGGACGATGTGAATCTCTGCTATCGGATGCTTGAGTACTTTGGTGGGCTCGATTATATCAATTCGTAAGTCACTTTCACTCGCTGTCTTTGATACTCAAGGCATGTATAACTGACTTCCCTCTCTTCAGACCCCATAGCTCAAGACTATCGCCTGGGTGACTTGACTCTCCTGGATATTGTTAGCCTTTCCGCCACCACCTCTCCGGTCTACCATCACCCGAATCACGAGAGCAAAAAAAAAACCGAAAGAAAAAAGCAATTCACGATTAATCAAAAGCAACAAAAAACCGAGCATCAAACAACTGCATCCCTGCGATAAATCGACAAAAAACAAAGATACAGCCACCATCACGAAGCGAAAAGAACACCAGTATCTATGGGGACCCCAAGTCACGACTTGCAGCAATGAAGATACATTGTATTCTTCATGGTCTACCAAAGGCTTGGCCATGCGATATCTGGTACAGACTTCCACACGCACCAGGCGTTGAGATTCAAGATTACGATTGTCCGTCGTTCCATATCTGCTCTTGTCGGTTGAGTTCGTGTCCGACTTTCTTTGTTGTTGACGCTTGAGTTCCCGGCCAGTCAGATTGGTTGTGGCATTCGACAATCTAAGCTGGATTTCCGTCGGCGCATTTCTTTGTGCCATTGGTAATGTGCAGAACCATCTGTCAGGTCATTCTTGAAAAAAGGACGATGTAGCCTTTGCTCGAGGGTATAGAGAACCATCTCGCTCTTCGAGCTTTTGTCATGTGATTATCCAGGATAGCCTCTCTCGTTATATTTTCCAGAGAAAGCCATATTTCATCAAGGATTCACTCATCGGATTAGCTGTCTGATGACAACAGAGTGTTGTGATGTTCCATTAGAGACCTGGTGAAATAAGACCAGGGTCATCTGCGAAAAATTAGACATGTATGATAGCAAAAGTGAAAATTCTCAGACATGCATATATAATATCATCTCTAATACCAATCATAATGCAGTACCTTGACAATCCTCAGTAGTGAATAATGAAGCCGTAGAAGACATCGTGGATATCAAACCACTTGTTCACGCCAAGGGCCCCCAAGTAGACTAGCCCCAATAGGAAGGCGGTATGTGTCACCGCCTCCCCGTAAAGGACACGGTCGATCAGTATCGATGCGAATGATAATAATCCTCGAGAGATGCTGAACTGCCCTCTCCTCCTTCATCGACTGCCACACTCCTTTGCCTTGTCCGAGGAGAACATGCTTCTGGTTTTTGTCACTTGATTTATCTTATTCCTCCTTTGGTTTTGCTTCTCTGCGAGCATCCGTTTTTACGACTTTCCCCGAGGGCTACCCCCCCGGTTGTTTAGCACCGCAAGCAACAATACCACGGACGGAGGCGACCGTTTCCCGTGAATTCGCCTCGCCATGTCTTCTACAGATTATAACTATGATGAGCAGGTACGATGCTTCTCACGATATGGAACTGATGGGCTCCATTAGCTGACCGTTCTGTCTTAAAACTAGGGTCAATTCTTCCCGTTCTTCATCCTGACTCTCTCGGGTCTTGTCACGCTTCCTCTCACATACAACCTTCTCAAGCCGAGCAAGGGTGAGTAGTCCCTGGTTGCTTCTTTGTCAAACTATTCACTGATATATTCTCGTGGCGCAGAGCTTGAGAACACCGCACCGCGAATAAAATCGGGGTTCACACCGGAACATGGCGACCTCATCGAGGCGCAGAAGCGGAAACGCCTGCGCAAGGAGCGTCGGATTAAGCGCATCATCACCGTCATCGCTGGATATGCCATGATGGCCTGGATGATCTATCTGATTCTTGTGACCGCTCGATCAACACCAAAGATTTGGGACCCTTATGACATTCTGGGCGTCTCGAGGGTAAGTTGTCAGAAGCTTTGTCTAACGAACTGCTTGATCTAACATTTCATTTCCAGAGCGCCGATGAGAAAGCTATTTCTAGACATTACAAGCGTCTTTCTTTGATCTACCACCCCGACAAAGTTAGACCTGATCCCGCTAAGAATGAGACCGTCGAGATGCTCAATGACCGCTTTGTCGAGTTGACCAAGGCCTACAAGGCGTTGACTGATGAGGAAATCCGTAACAACTACATCCAGTTCGGCCATCCGGATGGAAAGCAGAGCTTCAGCATTGGCATTGCCCTTCCCAAGTTTATTGTCACCGAAGGAAATGGAAAGTATGTCTTGCTGGTTTATGGAGGTCTTCTTGGTGTCCTTTTGCCGTACATTGTCGGACGTTGGTGGTACGGTTCTCAGCGATACACCAAGGAGAAAGTTCTTGTCGCTAGTGCCGGTAATCTCTTCCGGGAGTACGAGGAGGATATCACAGACGGCGGAATTGTCAGCGCCTTGTCCTCTGGTGTTGAGTTCCAGGAAATGCTCAAGGGCCCCAAAGCCGAGGCCGGACTAGCCAAGCTCGAAAAGAGAGTTTTGGCCGAAGACTCATCGATTCTCTCAGCCCAGGATCGCAAGGCTCTCAAGGAACTGGATGATTCTTCTCGACGAAAGGCGTTGGCACTGCTCTGGGCTTACTTGGCTCGTGTTGATTTGGAAGATACCAGTCTCGATGGAGGTAAGTCATCTACCTTTCCCCGATCACTGACCACAAAGGAACAGGGCTGATTAAATTGCATCTACAGAGAAGTACGAAGCTGCTCCTATTGCTCTGTCGCTGAACGAATCTTTCATTGCTATCTCTCTTGGTTTTGGCAACCTTCGCCCCATCTTGAACTCCTACCGAACATCGCAGAATCTGATTCAGGCCATCGCTCCCGGTTCATCGCCGCTCCTGCAGCTGCCGCATTTTACCAATGCTGTTGTGAAATCTGTTGAGGGTGAAGATGCTAAGGGTCACTTCTCGGTGCAAAAATTCATGAACTTGGCCGAAGAACAGCGTCGCAGCCTCACAGTAGGCCCAGGTCTCCTATCGGAACAGCAGTATTCTACCGCCGTCTCCGTCGCTAAGCAGCTCCCCGTTCTCGAGGTTTCCAAGGCCTTCTTCAAGGTTATGGGAGAGAGAGTTATTACCCCAAGCAGTCTGGTACAATTGGTGGTCAAAGCACGATTCGTTCCCCCCGGCTACACGAATGTTCCAGAGGTGAACCCAGCCGATCTTGAGGATGTTGACCCCGATGAGGATGACCTTGACGCTCTGATGGGCCGGAAGCCCGCCAAGAACAAGACCACTAAGATTGTGAATGGCCAAAAGGTCGAGGCCAAGGCCGAGACCATCCAACCACCCCTGGCTCACGCACCTTACCTCGCTCGCGACCATTCCCCCCGGTGGCACATCTTCTTGGCCGACGCTAAGCAGGGCAAGATGGCTGTCCCACCTTTCACTTTCACTACCTTCGACAAGCCCTTGTTCGATGAAGCTGGAAAGCCCACATTCAACGTCCAAACCCTCAAGATGCAGTTCCAGGCCCCCCCTCAGATTGGCGAATTCTCGTTCGTCATGAATATGCTCTGTGACAGTTACCTTGGCCTTGATACGAAGCTTGACATTACGTTGAAGGTGGACGACCCGGCTAAGGCTGCTGCCCTCGACGAAGAGGATGACATCAGTGAGCCCGATGAAGGTATGTCAATAGCTACTCCAACTTGTTATTATACAAAAGATGCTAACAATATTTGCAATAGACTCAATTGCCGGACAGATGCAGGCCCTGAAGACCGGACAACCACCTAAGAAGAAGACAAAGAGAGCATCCGACGATGAGAGTGATGATGAGAGTGACACCGACGGCGATGCAGGTGAAACCAGCGATACCGACACGGAAACTGATGAGGAATAAATAGGGCAAGTGTGTAAAGGGATGATAAGCAAGGTCAATGAGAAAAGAATAAATCAGGATGATGCCATCCTCTAATTAGTTCTTGTTTTAAAAAGAGGGTTTGTTTTATATGATAGGAAAGTTACCCACCCTTTTTTTTTTTTTTTTTTTGGTTTTGTCTCCATCTTGTTATTCAGCAGGATCTCAATTCTATTCGCGTTTTTTTGTGCAACTCCGGGGTCATTTTCTGTATGGTATCATGTTATTTTAGATTTTGCATCTAGTTAGGGAGTTGAATTTCCTAGGTATTTTTTTATCCTTTGCAAATTTCCATGATTGCACGGTTGTCCCATGCTGACTTCCAGCCTTCCAGCTAGCCTTTCTTAGGTACAGCAAGAAAAATAGAAGTAGGAAATAAACAAAATGAGAGTTCATGAACTCTTTTTCTAACATCCGCAGCAAATGTGGTATGCATAACTCGACTAACGAGAGAATCTTCATCTAGTCAAAACCTCCCCAAAGGTCCAACGCCCATTGAGGAAATTCTTATATCCTGACAAATAACGAATGAATAACAGACTCGATGTCAGACCTACTCGGCCTGTTTCCTGACCCGGGTAGACCATGCATATAAATGATGTTAATGCTAATGCTGATGACAATGACGATGATGGGTATTTGTAAAAGGATATCACGATGGTAAAAGGCCAAGGCCGTAGATATATGCAGACAATGGGGAAAAATAAGAGGAAACGGTCGTCAACGCGTATGACGCGCAATATATATATGACTATAAATGAAAATGACAAAAAGACAACCTTTAATATATTTCGGAAAAGGTAGACATGTTATCCCGATGGAAAATGCCATCCAGGTGTGACACCCGGATAGAGTGGTTGCTCTTGAAAATGGTGGTATTCGCCAAGCACATCAGCAGACAAGCCAGCAGTTGTTTGATGTGGTCCCGGTCCGGTCATGACGCTAGGATGAAGGCGATGCTTTGCAGGCTCCTCATAGCAGCTGTTGTTGGGATAATATAAATAGGGAGGATGGCTGGAAGGTGCTGGGTGGATCGGTTGTGGGCATGCAACTTCCCCTGCTAGGTTAGTTGGCCCCAACGGCGCTTGGGAAACCACCATCCCAGGGTACCCAGACCCTGAATAATTGTGATACTGCTCCGGCTGAACGGACTGAAAGTCCCACTTCCATGATTCAACTCCCCTGGGCGAAGCGGTCACGGAAGCGCAGTTGCTCGGGTATGGATCGGGGGGAGTGGTAGGTTCTGGGGACGGATCGGTCGTTGAGTCAGTCGAGGTAGACAAGAAGCGTAGATATTGAAGGTCCTCTGTTTCTTCATCTGGCTCGTCGGGATTTTCTTCAGCTTGTTTGATAAGCCCTAAGCGATCCAGAATGGCATGCGTTAAAGGATGGCCGTCAGCGCCTTCCGCCAGAGGCTCCCCTGGAAACCCTTCCTTGTTTACACAGTGTTTGTAGAGTTTCTGCAGTGCTTTCACGACGAGCGAGTGGTGCGACTCTAGCATCTCAACGAACCTATAGATGGATGAAACAGTTAGAATTCAAGCTTCTCTCTAGCAGATATAAGCTAGATGGACCTACCCTCGAGAATATACTTTGGTCTGGGTGGCCTTTCTCTCTCGGAATAGACACGGGTGATTGTATGCTGAACAGCGGTTACACGGTTGCTTCCCATCACACTAATTTGAATAAGTATGCTGGTCCTGTCTCAAGTGTCTCCCGCAAGCCCACCAACCTTGGTCTTCTTGACTCTGCAGCGATCACAGGCTTTTAGAACATGCTTGCGTTTGACTCGAAAAACGCGTTGCTCTCGCTTGTCCTCCGCAAATCCCTGTCGAGATTCGAGCTCCGATAAAGGTGCTATTGTAGCGAGGTCATAGAGGCCCTCAGGAAAGCCCGGTATATGCGACTTGGGACGAAGCTTCGGTTGTCGCGACATTTGGCTGCACTTGCGCATACAGCGGTAAACAGGAGAAAAAGAAAGTCCTTCAGATTCTTCCAATATTGAGAACACTCAATGTGTTTAGAGGTAGTCACTTGACTTATCAATCGTACGTCTTCGAAAGACGAGAGAAGTATTTGAAGGCTGGAGGGGAACCAAACAGGTGGGGAGGAGGGGTGAGAAGAGCAAGAAAGAGGCTCAGGGAAATTGCCTTCTCCAAATACATACTGATATCATCTTTATCAAAAAGGAGCTGTTTTTCCAAGTGCCCCGCATAAGCACCCGACGATCATCCCCCACTTCTAAGGTGCACCGTATAGATACCAGTGGTGACGTGGAGGAAAGCGGTCTGTCACGATGTCAACCGATACGATCCTTTGATGTCCAGCAACTTTGGTGGTTGTGACAGATACACCAGCCCCCCCCAGCAAGAGTCACATATAGCCCGACCCTGTGCCCATCGAGTATGCTGACACGGTCGAGCGAATTCGCTGGCTATGAAACATCAAAAGCCATTCCCGTTGACGGTCCGAGCCGTCATAGCGAAAAGAACAGCCAAAATATTGCTCATCGGCACTAACCGGATACGATCCTGGTCATTTGGGCAGCGAGATGCAGGGCCGGAAGTAAGACCTTTACCATCTGACTTTGTTGTTGCGCATATCCAGTGGCAGTCGTGACCGTAATCGCATGTAATACATAGTGCATCATGTAAATGCGCATAGATGACAAAAGGAATCACATAAGAACAATTTTTTTTTCCCTTCTTTTTTCCCCTTTCCGACAGGAACATCACCCAGGTCTGTGGATACATTCCGAAACCTCAGAGCTGAAGTATCAACTTTCAGCCCAAAGCAGTGAGTCAAGGCAAAAGAAAAGAAAAATTGCCCGTTTCCCGTGGGCGTCCATCTGCCAACAGTCTGGATGATTGGTGCACTGATGATCTAACTCCCAATCATCCACGTCGACTGTCGTCCGCAGTGAGCAAGCCCGTGCCTCACGCTGCGCCCACTGCTATTGCCAAGGCGAAGAGTGCTTGTTGCGCTAATGGTACGTCCTTGACTTACATCTATTGGGTTCAAACCTTGGACTGTACAGATGAACCTCGAAGCCCGACGTCGGACATGAACCGAACAAGTACCGACGCGCCTAAATTTCTTTTTGATACGTATCCCGTATATGTGGCTATATTATGCCAAACAACACTTGCTTTTTGCAAGAGTGCCGTCGAGAAGCGGTGTGAAGTGTGCACGGCAGATATATAAAAAAAAAGGGGGGGGGGTGTGGATGGTTGGGTGTGATAGCTTGAGGCGGCTGTGGGTTGCGTGCAGAATCACCAGTCGAAGACTCTAGGAAGCAAAGACGAGAGATCCTCGAGGGCTTGGGCTCTCGCTGTTGCGGAAGGAGACAGCGTGCGAAGGCGAGGGGCTGCTGGCGGAGAAAGATTCATCACATGATAGAAAAATCAATTAATACGGCATGTATCAGTTGAGCAATGGAAAAAGGATTCTTCACTAGTAGCAGTAATGGTGCTACTGATGATGACAGGTTCAGCATGCATCGAGAAAATTCAAGCCATCAGGCTCCGGTCCACTTGTGACGCATGAAGGTGTTGTACAGCATATTGTTATGTTTGCACCGATCTATGCATGACCTAAGAAACAATGAGAGAATTTAGTAACTCAAGAATGCTACTGGTAGGTAGCACTTGGTAGTATCTAGGCTGCCAAATAAAAGTAACAATGGCAGAGCATGACTTTCCAGTTGGACACGACAAGAACCCAGGTGATATCACGAACGAAATGAAGTGTGAGGAGAAAATTAAATAGGTGCTTCCCCTCTCCACGAGCCTCTCAGAGGAATCCAAGTCACCCCCTCCCTTGGTAGTGGGTAATGGCTGCTGAGACTAAGGGGCCAGGTGCTCGAGGATCCCTTCTGAATGCAAGAAAAGTGCATGGGTCGTGCTTTGCAGGAAGCAAGCCACCTGCAGCTCAGCAATCACAGCTCCGAGTCTGGGTCTGAAGGAGGGAAGAAGAGGGGTGATGGCTCTCGCTCGGCGGCTGGTGGTTGGCAGTTGACACCCTGTCCTTGTCGTCGACAGTCTTCTGCGCCACAGAATTTATGATGTTTGACCATCAGATCATCCACGGTTCTCTTCCTCCATCGCCTGGACTGGCCTGAATAGCACGGATGATCTTGAATACCATGTCTGTCACCCAGGGATCAGAGTCAGGGACGTGGCGCTGTCTGCTGTCAAAGGCGGGGTTTTTCTCTGTCTGTGGCTTTTGCAGGACTGCTCTTGAACGTCGGCATCGGTTTCCTCGAACCACTAGAGCATTATCGCCTTGATTCTAAAAGCTCACTGTGGAGTAGCCATGGTGGATTAGTAGCAGCAGATAAGCAGAGGAAAAGCCTCGACCTCATTCCCACCGGCTATAATTGCACCGATCACTGCCATCATAAGATTCTTTTTTCCCGCGTAGAGAAGCCCATCGATTTGTCATCGGAGATTCACCGTCTTGGTGGAATAAAAAACAAAAATACCAAATCCCTGCACGGCGGGCTGGGACTTTTGCGTTGGTGTCAAGAGAGAGAAAAAAAAACAAAAAACAAAAAAAAAAGTACTGTACGTGACGGGGGAGGCCTTCGACCTTGAGCCCCGCGTCACGGGACACGATGGACAGCCAGAGAAACAACAACAACAAACACTATCTGTTGCAAGACCCCAATGGTACAAAGTTATGTGGTAGGTATACATTGATGGCGCCAACTACACAATACAACACGGATCACTACCCAAGGGGGTCTCATGATTCTTCTCCTTCCTTTGTCTTCGTCTTTCCCATAAACACCCTGGCCTCGCTTGCATGACCGGTCCTTACACAGCAATCAGGATTTGTCAACCCGAGGTTATTATCGATGAAACTTGCAATCATGGCTTGATGGGCGGCTCAAGTATTGGCTGTGGCGTTATCGAGAACAAAAGATGATGAGTCTTTGGCGTTTAAACGGCACCAATCATCGATGCCCACGAGCTTTGACAACTGCCATCAGGCCGCAGGAACCGGGGGTGATGATAGTGATACATCTCAGATGCATATAGTCAATGATGTTTATCTGCTCTCGAGGCAGCAATGCACTGTCACCCGTCATAGCCTACCCCGATGAAATCTGGCTCCGAGTCATCTCACGGATTATACCGCCAAAGACAGGCCTAATAATTAGGCAGAATCAAGCCATAAGGACTCGTCGAAAGGATCACCAGATGCTTCCATAGACTTGAGGCGAACGGGGATAGAATGGATGCAACTATGATCAACTGTCAGGTAAGTAGTAAAGTCTTCGGTCCATCATTTATCCCTGGTATTAAAGGTATATGCATATGCAAGCAAGGAAGATATGACAGGCTGACTATTTGATTCAGATATTTCAGCAGGGAAGACAAATATAGACGTTTCTGGCCGTGTGTGTCCTTGACCGCTAATCCACCATCAAGCAGTAAATCGATATGTTCGAATATCAATACTCAGCAATCTAGATAGGCTAATGAGGACATAGTCCCCGTGCTCCAAAGCCCGTCTCCCGCAAACCTGGATGAAATCCTCCGATCGTATGTAGTAACAGCCAGCTGACACCAAGGCACTTCTCGGAGTCAGCCCAATGCCCGAATCAAGCAAACAAAGGGTAGTTAGTTTTGGCAGGGAGAAGGATGGAAAGGAAAATAAAGAGAGCCCCCCAGTACAGTATAATACAAGGAACATTATTGTGCTTGTCGGTGGAGTGATCGACTATCAACGAATCGTATACCCTGGTCCTGGTCCTTTTTTTACCCGGCCATCCAGAGACCTCGAAAATGATCACGTTTGTTTGCTACCTTCACCTCTTCCGACATGCTTCCTGATGTTTCCTTTCATGAACGGAGATCCGGGAGGGTAACACTGGCCTCTCCAGCGGCGAGGAGGTCAAAACTCTCTTCGCTGGCCGCTGTTGTAGGAGGACTCAAACTAGATCCTTCCTGCGATTCGAATTCTTCCTTCGCTATGCTCGACAATGACGGAACATGACGTTCTGAGACTATCTGCCACCGCTTATCTCCAACCCATTCCATGCCGTCACCGGCTCCGCTAAACCCTGCCTTGTGACGATCTTGTTCTCGTTCCAGAAGCGGGAGATTGTTTGGAGTCAGAGGAAGGTTACGGTGATGCCACTCGCCGAGGAACATGCCATCGACGTCAACTTCTTGCCGCACCTTGAGCCATTCATCCAAATCTTCGCCGTACATTTCCCGCAACTCTTGTCCCCCTGAAGTGAAATTCTTGGCCCAGTGTGGTCTCGCGCCCATGTCCCGCATGAGCCACTCAAATGCCTCGTAAAACCGAGCTTTACCAGGGGGGTCCCGGAGATATGGGCGAAACAATGTCGCATTGAGATACAGGGTTGGCCCATCGGGTCGGGTAGGGTCGAGGAAAGGACGGGGATTCTTGTTGTGCGTAGAATCCGAGACTCTGACTTCAACGGGACAATGTATCCACAAGCCCTCAGAAGGAAAGGGGATACGCGCTGTTTGGAGGTCTCCATGAAGCCAGGCCGAAAGACGGATGATAGTCTCTGGGCCCTTTTCCAAAGGCAGTGCCCACTCGTTGACGAATTGCGAATACAAGCAGTTCAACAAGAGACCGGCACGCGAAGGCTCGACCGCCTCCGTAACTGTCTTTTCCGTCCTAAATCCAAATTGCAGACCAAAGACAAGCCACTCCACCCAGGGTGTTATCCGGGGGAAGTAGTTGGCAAGTGCCAGCAAGTTATGGTAGATGTGATATCCAACCGTCTCCCCATAGAATGTCTTCGGGGGAGCACGCAGTGGCAAATCCGATTTATCCGCATGCCAGACAACCGCACTCTTTTCATATGGCATCCACCAGACGCGAACGAATTCATGCGAAGTCCAAAGTCCAGACGACCATTCAGCCAGCACACTATTCAACGCACGCCTGGACTGTTTCCAGGCGATATTGAACATGGGTTTCGCTTGGAAGGTCACCTCGACAATTATGCCCAACGCTCCGAGGGAGATCAGAGCCGCCCGGAATAGAGTTTGGTTGTTGGTCGCGCTGCAACGGACCAGTTGTCCATTGGCCAGCATCAGGGTGAGCGATACAATACACTCAGAGAGAAGGCCATGCTGTAAGGAACTGCCATGAGTGCCTGTCGCAATGACGCCTGCAATTGACTGGCTGTCAATACTGCCCATGTTGGACAGTGCCAGGCCATATTTTTCCAACTCATCACCCAAGTTCTTCAGCCGAATACCAGCCTCGACGGTCACAACTCGTGTTTCCTGAGATACCTCCAGCACCCGGTTGAAATTATCGAGATTGACAAGCCAAGCAGACGTGCATGTCAGATCGGAAGGCGAGTGGCCGCTGCCAACGGTGACCAAGCGGCGTCGGCAACGGCGTGCCAGCGTAACCAGCTTCTGGATCTCCGCGATCGACTCTGGTTGTACGTATAGCTCCGGTCGCGAAAAGAACGTCTTAGCCCAAGTATGATGGAGATGATCGGGAGTTGCGCGGAAAGGAATCGCGGGGTCGAGCCGCGACAGCTCGCGAACGATGGTGGGGTCCATTATGAGATTTCCGTGATTCTCAGCAGGATCTCTCAAAACATATTGGAAAGAGTCTAGAATGTATTAGATGTTCGGACAGTTGATCCGATACAGTAGAAAGTGGAAAGGGCGAAATGATGATGAGAGGAAAGGGGAAGAAAGAAAGAGCGGAAAGAGAAAAAAACTACGCCGTAGCGATGTCGACATTGCGATATAGGTGGGTCAGAAGCCGATAATCGGGGCCCGGATAAGACCACCCAGACATGCGCAAAAGCCGAATGAATATACCAGAAGAGTCTAGCCACTAGAGAGACTATTGATCGGTGAATGAAAGTGCTGAGCAGATTAATAATTATCGGAGGCTGAGAATCGAGGACATTGGCAATCATACAACCGAGGTGGACAGGAAGTGGAGCCGGGAGAAGACAAAACAGCAGAGATAAAAGAAGAGGCTTAAATCCTAACAAGTGAACAGCAGAGATATAGGTATTTACCTCAATTTGGGATATTACGACTCCTGCAAGTCGACTGAAATGTCTAAAAAATTATCATACATGAAACCAATCACGCCCGCCAAAGATAAGAAGAACAAAACAAAACTCCACACGTACATGCAGCCAGAGTTCATCCATCCGAAAGCTCCTGGGGCCATGCTCCCACGCCATCTACCAAGCCGGGGGCACCATCTGTACAGGCCAGATTATGCACAAATAGTAAAAATGAAAATTATGAACAGACAGAAAAGATACGAAAGGGTTCGTTGCAGTTGGTTTAGGATCGAATGGCTTCAATGGCGGCATTCAGGGGGAACACCTGGGGAGGCGTCTGCCAGGAACGCTTGTCCCACTTGCGAAACGCACTCCGGCACGCATCCGGAATCCCACCGATAGAGACAAAGCTCTTGGGAATAAAGGGTCGATCCTGGAGAGAAGCGGCAAGGATGCCGTACTCGTGCGCAAACACCACGGCTGATGCGAACTCTGCGGGTCGGTTCGAAGCTTGCTCACCAACGATCCTAGTACCAGAATTAGCCATTGACTAGATTATACTTGTTTAGAATCCAACTTACACATAGATTTCAAAGAAGGTGTCAAGGATGTAGATCCCCTTGGCTGCGAGATCCTTATGGCAGTAAGGTTCAACTTCCTGTACTGTGTCATTTGGCCGGATTACAGGGGATGATGAACCTGGTCGTCGAATCCAGAACCCGGACCGTTGTCCTAGCCCGTGGTCCACTCGGAGTAACCTGGTGCGGAAGTGGTCATGGTTGGGCTTGCGCTGCCAGTAATCTGAGCGCATATAATCCCCGGTATCTCTGAAGTCGGGAAAGATTTCAGAAAACGTCTCGGGCTCTTCTCCTTCCGCAATCTCCTCGATTTCACCAGTCAGACCAAGGTCCATTCCAATAAGTCGAGCAGCGCCAATCTCTTCTGCGGAGCTTCCTTTTCCTTTCCAGAGATATAGGTTGCCAAACATAGCCGAGATCACGAACGGATAGCCAGAGCAGAGGTTGCTTCGGGAGAAGTCTACCTCATCAAACACCATCTGTTTCAAATGCTTCCTTCCGCAGAGCATATATAGGGCGGATGAGCTGGAGCGGGAGTTAGAGCCCCGGCGAGTGATGAGAATGCCGCCTAGAGCTTGGATAAACTGGGCTGGCTCTTTGCCCTGCTTGATGATCTCAAGTTTACATCCATTGTCCTTTGCAGCCTTTCGGGCGAAAACTTGGGCATCATCTAAAGATGAGTCCTGAACGTCGTCACCGCACCAAAGATGAGCCTCAGACCGGGTGCCACCGTCCAATTCAAACATGTGGATGCAGAGGTACATGCTTCCTTCGTAAAGAATATACTCCTGGTTAATGGGAAGATCTTGTCTTTTGCCGTCGCTCGTAATCTCCCAAATCTGCTTCCTCAATGTTCTGATCTTGAGGTCATTTCCCTTGCTCGTCAACATCAATTGAGGGTCAATATCAACCCGGTCGCTTGAGTGAGGGAACGGCTTGAAAAAGTTAGAGATAACCTCCATGGTTTCATCAGCCTGCGGGACCAATGACGCCGAAGACCTTGGTGATGAGAATTGCTGGTCAAGCGAGATATCAGACCGTCTAGAGGCAACAGGAGGAGATGGCAAGGCCTTGTTTCGGGAAGACATGTCTCTGATCCCACCAGTGACAAAGTTAATAACACTTCTAGGAGTTGTAGGCGAATCCATCTTGTTTTCTCTGAGGCTTGTCCTGAGAGGCGACGGAGATGGTGATGAGTATTGAACTTGAGAGCTTCGACCAGACATGGGAGTCAGTGGCGATGGAGCTGGTTTTGGTGGCACTGCCGGTTTGTTCGAAGGCGAATCCCCCAAGTTCTCAATGTCTTCGTAAGCAAGCTCTGAGCTCCGAAGAGGAAGCTTGTTCAAGCCATCGGTAGATTTGGGGGTGTCATTGATTGGTTTCTGTTCAGGCTCCTTTGGGATATTGCTTTGTATGCTTTCCCTCGGTTCCACTGGCTTACTAGAGACAGACGACCTAAGGGGTGTTTGAACTGGTTCTGTAATTGGCGGTGGACCTTGGTCATTTGGCTTTTGCTCGGGTTCATTTGGGATGCTTCTCCTCAGCTCCGCTGGCTTCCTGGAGATGGATGACCTGACGGGGGTTTGAACTGGGTCTGCAGCTGGCGGTGGGCTTGGTTCACTTGGAATGCTTTTTCTCAACTCCACTGGCTTGCCGGAGACAGATGATCTGAGGGGGCTTTGAACTGGTTCCGGGCTTTGGTCGTTTAAATTTTGCTCAGATTTCTTTGAGATGCTGCTTTGAACGCTTCGCATAGATTCCACTGACTTGCCAGAGACAGATGACCTGAGGGGGTTTTGAACTGGTTCTGGACCTTGGTCATCTTGATTTTGACCTCGACTATATTCATTTGAGATGCTGCTTTGAATGCTTCTCCTAGAATCCACTGACTTGCTAGAGACGGACGATCGAAAGGGCGTTCGTACTGGCTTTGGGATTTGGTCATTTGGCTTTTGCTCGGATTCGTTTGAGATGCTGCTCTGAACGCTTCTCCTCAGCTCCACTGGCTTGCTGGAGACAGATGATCGAAAGGTCGCTTGGACTGGTTCTGGGATTTGGTCATTTGGCTTTTCGGATTCATTTGAGATGTTGCTTTGAATGCTTCTCCTCAGCTCCACCTTGCTGGAGACAGATGATTGAAAGGGCGTTTGGACTGGTTCTGTACTTGGCGGTGGGCCTTGGTCCTCGGGAAGGGGCCAGTTACTGGATTCGACAATAGTATGCTCGACGGGCGAAATGCTAGCTTCTGAGCCCTGTTCATCAAAAGACGCGATCGATGAGACCGATGGAGAAACAGGTTTCGGAGTGGCCTCGGCGGGAGCAGTGTTTGGCAGACGCCTTTTAGGGCCTCTTGCGCGACCTTTTGTCATATGCGTGAGTGGCGCGGCGGGCGTGCGATCAGACGAGTTCAAGCTACCTTCTCCAAAGGTATTCGTAGAAAGTGCTTTCTTCGGCTCGTCACTTGCAACTGGTGGTCCACGAGACAAAAGGCCGGCTAAGGCAGGGTTTATTCGGCCTGCAAGTTTACCTTTAGTAGCGAGACCTTCAGCCGCAGGAGGCGCTTTTGCAACTTCCGCGACAGTCCCCGATGGCAATTCACGCACCGGTTTGATGGTCTCCTCACTGACATCCTCCTTCTTCGCTTCAGAGTCATCATTTTTCAGTTTTTCCTCCGAATCATCACCCTTGGCTTCTTCGGTCGTGGTTTCGAGGGGGGCTGTATCCGCTATCCCTTCCTGGGGCTCTTCTGGATCGGAATCGTTCGTCTGGGGCGCGGCTTGTGGGATCTCAAAGTCCGTTATCTCGTATTGGGACTCTTCTGGGTCAGGCTTGTTTGCAATTGGCGCGGGCTGTTGGCTCTCGGTATTTCCAACGCCTGCATCATCCGAAATAGCAAAGGGAGACGTCGGTTGTTCCTGTACAAAGCTTGGTGTAGCAGGCTCTTTCGGGGATGGCGATGATTGTGCATCGGCAGAAAGGTCACTCTTGACACTGCCAGACTTGGTCATGTTGTTTCGTTTTGCGATAGCTTCTGGAATGGACTTTTCAGGAGCGTCGTTATCCCCAACTGTATTGCGTCTCAACGAGCCTCCACTAAATTTGATTGCCTCTTTCTGTTTCAAGATGCTATCTTTGAGTTCGTCCACTCTTTCCGACTTTTTTGGGCCTCCAGTTGCATTCAATGCCGCCTTTCCTCTCAGGATATTATCCTTGAGTTCATCGGGAGCCTCATGTTTAACCTTCTCCGTCTTTTTGAGTTTTCCGAATACATTTTTGAACTCAGGCTCTGCTTTTGGTGCATTGTCTTTGACAACTTCTCGCCGCCGGAGATTTCCACGGAAATCCACAACAGGCGATTGTGGCTTCGGCCTCGGTGAAAGAGGTTCGCGAGGAGACAGCGTGGAAGGAGGAGTAGGATTCAGCTTGGTGGATACTGAAAGAGGCGAAAGCTTAGGGTTTGCCGGTCCCTCTGTCTTAGTTTCAGCGGGTTTTTCGGTGGGTGCTTCTGCTGACTTTTCTACAGGGCTTTCTATGGGCGCTTCTGTTGACTTTTCTTCAGGTGCTTCTGCAGGTGTTTCTGCAGCGGTCTCTTCCGTAGCCTCGGGCTCTGGTTCTTGTTGTGGACCTTTTTCTGTGACAGAAGGTGCATCTGCAGTCTTGTCCGCGGGCACTGGCTCGCCTTCTTTGACATCGGGAATTGGCTCCGGTACGAAATCTTTTCCTTTTGTCGTATCCAGGTTGCCCAGTATATCCGGGATCCCAGAGATGCTCGACTTCTTGAAGTGACTTCCTGGGGCGGTGGTTCGCATGAGACCCACGGGAGTGACTTCTTTGAAGCTATTCGCCCGACCTAAATCGACACTGCCCCTCGATTGTCGTTCTCTCACCCAGGGCGCTGTCTGGGAAGGCTGCTTCTTATGTTTCGGGGAATCAGGCCGGTTCAGGGCACTTTCTAGCCATGAGGCTTTGGTAGGACTCCACCGCCTGGGATCCATGGTTCTTGAAACAGCCGGGCTTGTTGGAGGCTGCGAACTAGAATCTGCACCTTGTCCATCTTTGCTCAGCGTACTGGCAGACCTTGTATGAATTGAAAGAGGCAGCCGAGAGGGGCTATCATCGAATTTCGTATTGCTGTTGTTGCTGGGAACAGGTGGAGTCGCCGGTCTTTCATTTGCTTTGGCATTGTGAACAACTGTGGCCTCGCTGTGACTCGAGCTAGGTCGGTGGAGTGGGAAAGACGGAGCTTCACGCCCTAACTTAGGTGGTGAGGCTGAGAGTGAATCGCCTTGGGGAAACCCAGCAATGCTGTTGCGATTGCTAGCAAAAGAATTTCCTCGGCTGAGCCCCTGAGGAATCTGAGCACTCCATCGTTTCGAAACACTGTCTGACCGCTTCATCATAGCACTCTGAACAAACCCACCTAGTCCCTTTGTTGGTGACGATGGTCGCTCTGGAGAGCGCCGCCTTTGCGATGGGGATGTTGGGATTTGTTCCTCCGAACTGGGCTCTGTTGTTCGGGGCTCAAGTTTTGGAGCATTTGCCAGAGGGGCAGGAGAGCCAAGTCCTGCAGCCGTCGAAACGGAAGAGACACTCGAGTAACGCTGGCCCAAACTACTCTCTGCAAATGTCGAGCTCGCCCTTGACGGGGAGCGCGACCGTTCATCTGCATCTTGCTGCCCAATTTGTTTGTCTAGCTCTGTATTTCCTTCTCGTTTCCCTTCCGGTGTTCGTTGATCATTGATATTCGGTGTAGCCTCTGAAGTGTCTTCCTCGATGTTTTTCCGGAGTATTGGTGAGCCAAGTCCTCTTTCTGGAGTCTGGGGAAACACAAAAACATCTTTGGACGGAGACGAGGGCGCAGTAGGAATCCTAGACGGCTCCTGGTCGCGATTCGACAGGCTCGAGATGGCTCTCAGCCGATTCTGGCGGGTAGGGGATGTCGACATGAAGGAATGCCGGTTAAAGTCTCGGGAAGAAGGGCGCTGTTGCCAGGACAGAGTCCCGCTTCTACTCCGTGCTACTGAACTTGGAGCAGCTTTCGGGGATGATGCTGTTTCGATTTCGTCCATTTTTGATGGCTTCCCTAAACCCCCATCCTCTGTTGGCACTGTTGACTCATCATCCCGAGCCAGGTCGGGTTTGGCGCTAATGTCGTGTTCTGAGGTGAAGGACGTGGGCTCGAGGTGCTCTGGGGGATCGATCGCTCGCTGGCTGAGGGAAGATGTGCTTAACCGAGCGGCATCTAAGACAGGGGAGTCTTTTGTGGGGGAAATCGATCGTGCCCGCTCTACAAAGTGTCAAAAGAGAAAAAAGGGAACCGGATCAGCCTCTGTTATTGGATGTCTGGAAAAATGGAGGGGTCAAGTTGCAAGTAATGATAAATGACAAGACAAAGAATCAAATATGAGTGGGTAATAGGTAACAAGTAGACAAAGGGATGCGAAATACCAGCTCTCCGAGCCTGTCTCTCCTTCCGACCCTGCAGAATCTCCTCCTCCAACTTCTTCGTTCGTTCCTCATCTTCCTTGTCGCGTTTCTCTCCTAGTTCCCGAATGCGGAGCAGGAAATCATTGACGTCCTCTGCACCGTCAGTGCCCGTGGTGGAAGCCATGGCCAGACCAACTTGGAGCACTTTCACCAGCAGCAAGGGATCGAGAGAAGGAGGAAGAAAAGGGAAGAGAGAAAAAGAGGGAACACACACGGGCCCAGGAACGGTGGGGGTGAAATTCCACGGAACGAGAGAGACACAAACTGGGTGTCTTTTTTGGCTCTCCCACGGCGTCCGCCCTAGGTTAATCTAGTTGGTCGTAGTCCTACCAGTAGCTTGGAAGTGGTGATCTTGAAGGGGAAAACGTCAGGTCGCCTCAAGATCCTGCTGGGTTGTTTCTCCGCCTTTAATTTCTCAAGCCTCTGGGTTTTTTTTTTCTTCGCTGGTGGAACCCGGACAGGCGACGATTATTACGATATTTAATAATGCTTCCAGTAGGACGCACATCACCACCTCGCCCCACTGCGTCCTTGCTGGAGGCCGAAGGGCAACCCGACCAGGCCCAAAGATGGGTGTCCAAAGTACTAGATGATCCTATACCATCGTCATATCCTCAGATCCCATAATGCGTTGGCTACAGCTTGACCTCTCCCCAAAGACTACATTTGTCGATTCCTCTACAAGCGGAAAACTGTTTATCAACATTCGTACTCGGTTCCGGTGGTGGAGCAGCCTCTGCCGCCCCGCGATCCAGCATTATGATTCCCTTGGAATTTGTTGGCAAAACCAGATCCACGGATAGTTCAAGACGATCCAAGGGGCATTTCACACGGCGATGAAACAACAGCGGATATATTATAAACCAGAAGCATATCGTTTCCGCTACTGTCGTGGATGTTCAGGAGCAGTGTCCGGAAGCTGACAGGTACATTGCGATCATTCCGGTTCACCCAACCGTCGAAGGAGGATCGACAAAGTCAAAAATGAGAATGAGATGTAGATGACTTCCAAAAATATCTCCATGTCCAGGTTGAGATTATTCAACCTCTTTGGGCTCTTGTATGAACATTTTTCATCGCTTATTCTAGACTTCTCAGCCTTTCAGATCTGCCACTTTGCTGTTTCGAGAAAGGGGAAGTCCTGATAGGCGAAGGCGATCTGATCCTCCACTGAGGACAAAGTTATAAACCACTCCAGTCTCCGTATCATATGTGAGGGAAGACAATGGCGTCAAAAAGCAAAACAAGCTATAAGAACACGTAGACCCATCTGTTACACAGTCGAAAAATTCGCTTGCATGCTCGCGATGGTGCCCTCCACCCGGGTCATAATACCCCCTTATCACATTAAGTCAATGTTCGATTCAGTCGTCCATGTCTCCGCCCTTATGCACGAGCTGTCAGATGAGTATAGGTTCTGCGCGGATAATATCAAGTGCCCAGGCCGCCACAAGATTAGTGTTGATCGGTTGCAGAGTCAGTAAAGGAAAAGCCTGTCCTTTGCATCTTGTACCACCCATTCCAATCCTTGGTTGAGATTTTTTCCTGTCATTGCACTGCAGGGTAATATCGTCCATCTATGGGTCTTAATTTCATCTAAGCAAAGACGCTGTGGTGTAATTAGAAAAGCTCGTAGGAAGTCCACACAGACCCGAAGCCGAAGAGAAAGGGGTAAAAA